AAGGATTTGGGATGGGATGGGGGGAGGGGGAATGGTGCCCAACCACTTGGACATTTGGGAATTGAATGCTGACCGTTCCTCACATTACATAGACACATTGCAACTCTACAACAGCCTCATGCATGAACAGGCGCCACCCATCCACCACCACGGACGACGACACCCATCCACCGCTTCGGACGACGACACCCATCCACCGCCTCGGACGATGACACCCATCCACCGCCTCGGACGACGACACCCATCCACCGCCTCGGACGACGACACCCATCCACCGCCTCAGACGACGACACCCATCACCAACGTTGCAACCCGTTCTCGCAAATTTAATAAGTCAATATTGACTTATTAAATACGTGCATAGGTGACATACTAAACATAATAGTTTCCCTTGAAAAGCTTCATAGAAAACACCGACCTTACCTAACCTACTTAGTATGTTAAAATAAGCATCTTATAGCTTCGTAATTACAATTGTTACTTAACCTATTATAGGTATAGGTTAGGTAATAATTGTAATTACGAAGCAATAAGATGCTTATCTTAACATACTAAGTAGGTTAGGTAAGGTCGGTGTTTTCTATGAAGCTTTAAAAGGGAAACTATTATGTTAAGTATGTCACCTATGCACATATTTAATAAGTCAATATTGACTTATTAAATTTGCGAGAACGGGTTGCAACATTATAGTCCCAGTTCTGACATCAATCGCTGACAGAATCGCCGGAAACACTCACTGCTTATTCATCCAGACTATTAATCAGTTTCAGTAGATATACTATAAAACAAAATCGGGTAATGTAGTACTAACATTATCTTCGCCAGCAGTTCATGCCACAACATTCAATGTAAAACCCCAGCCATATATCTACACCAATGTCGAGCCCACCAACTCTACTGAAAAACCCATTCCTACCACCCAACACTCTACGTTGCTGTCAACCAAATCAAAGAAGAATTAAAACTCAAATTCTTCTTCAAAGAAGAAGTAAAACATTAACATCTATGGACATGGACATCTCCCTAAAAAGATCTCGATAACTATGCAAACGAAGAATTCATGCTTGAAGATTTTCATCAGTCTAAAGTATGCATCTATAATGGGTTATTCTCTAACAAACAAATCAAAGTTACCACATTACAACCTTTCTACGAAACTTGGAAGAGACTTAGCAACTGAAGGAGGGGGGGGGGTCAATTGAGTACTATAAACGCTTAGAAATGTACGAACCATTAATAACTTTGGTCGTTATAACTGAACACCCAGATCTACCATTCTATTGCTTCTACAATGGGGCAGCAGAAAAAAAACGACCATCACAAGTGACAATGTCAACGGGTGTTTACGAGGAATTAGACCACGAAGAGAAGAGAACTATCAGGGGAAAGCGCCAAGCCATTACGATTATACAGCACTTAGAAGGGGTTAGAATAAGGATTTGGGGGTCGGACGAGGGGAAGGAATGGTGCCCTGCCACTCTGATGGTTGGGGATTGAACGCAGATCTGCATGACGCAAGACCGTCGCTAAACCGTCCAGCCGAAGCTAAAAGCATAAAAAAATTAAACTCAACAAAGAAGAAAGAACAAAAAATTGCCTTATACATTGTTGCTCAGTCAAGCAGCTGGGTCAACCCCCGGGCCAGATTCACGAAGCAGTTACGCAAGCACTTACGAACTTGTACATCTTTTCTCAATCTTTGGCGGCTTTGTTTACAATTATTAAACAGTTAATGAGCTCCGAAGCACCAGGAGGCTTTTTATAACAATAACAGCAGTTGATTGGAAAGTTTTCATGTTTGTAAACTGTTTAATATATGTAACTAAATGCGTCAAAGATTGAGGAAAGATGTACTGGTTCGTAAGTGCTTGTGTAACTGCTTCGTGAATCTGGCCTGGCACCTTTTCTCCTACAGCAAATTCTCTCGTCCAGCTATTTTTGAATTATACGCACTTCCCACTGTGTATCTTCGCTTTACGTAAGTTAAGTTTAAGGTTAACACAGGAAATGTTGGGTTATATACACCGAAATGTGTACCCCAGTTTCTGAGTGTATATACACTAAGAGTTTAATCAACCCTGAACTCTGTTCGGGACTATAAAGTATTCTTACTGGTGGTCAGGTAGGAATTGTGACGGCCTTAGCCCTCGAGAGGCTGATAGGACTTTACTCCAACACCAAAATACACAAGAAAGCTTAATTATGTATGTATGTATGTATATATATAATATGTATGTACCCGTTATGACCATATAGGTTAGTAAGACACAGGTACATATATTAATTTAGTAGGGGAGTCTGAGCATGCGCAGAGGTGCAGCTCATCACATACACACATGTATATACACACAGTGGCGACGGCCCTCCCCGGGTAGTTAGTTAAGGGCTGCCAGAGGCCTCAGTAAGGTGCTGCTCTGACAGTTGTGGTGAGTGCCACACACACACTTAAACTTACACCTGGAGGGTATAGCTTCTCCAAGAGTCCTGCTATATTTATATAGATTTATATATATCAAGTATATAATGATAACGTATAGACTATTTGATTGTGATGTGACAAGTTGTTCTAATATTTATGTTAATCTACTGTTTTTCGAACATTTTTGCTGGAGGCAGCCTGCTTTAAGATAATGCCTCTCTAGTGATGTGTCAGATTGAAATCGGGCTAAAGTGACATATATGACAAAATTATGTATTAAAATCCGGAATAGACTAAGCTATGCAATGTAAAAAGAGAAGTCTTCTTGCTTTTGATATTCACTTTAATTGTGAATGCTTCTCCATTATCGATTTTTTTAGCGTGTCATAACATCAAATAAAGAAGCATATATTTTCAACATATTAACAAAACTAAATACATACAAAAAGTAAGCAAATTTTATATATATATATATATATATATATATATATATATATATATATATATATATATATATATATATATATATATATATATATATATATATATATATATATATATATATATATATATATATATATATATATATATATATATATATATATATATATATATATATATATATATATATATGTCGTACCTAGTAGCCAGAACGCACTTCTCAGCCTACTATGCAAGGCCCGATTTGCCTAATAAGCCAAGTTTTCATGAATTAATTGTTTTTCGGCAACCTAACCTACCTAACCTAACCTAACCTAACTTTTTCGGCTACCTAACCTAACCTAACCTATAAAGATAGGTTAGGTTAGGTTAGATAGGGTTGGTTAGGTTCGGTCATATATCTACGTTAATTTTAAATCCAATAAAACAAAATTGACCTCATACACAATGAAATGAGTAGCTTTATCATTTCATAAGAAAAAAATTAGTGAAAATATATTTATTCAGGAAAACTTGGCTTATTAGGCAAATCGAGCCTCGCATAGTAGGCCGAGAAGTGCGTTCTGGCTACTAGGTACGACATACATATATATATATATATATATATATATATATATATATATATATATATATATGTCGTACCTAATAGCCAGAACACACTTCTCAGCCTACTATGCAAGGCCCGATTTGCCTAATAAGCCAAATTTTCAAGAATTAATTGTTTTTCGACTACCTAACCTACCTAACCTAACCTAACCTAACTTTTTCGGCTACCTAACCTAACCTAGCCTATAAAGATAGGTTAGGTTAGGTTAGGTAGTGTTGGTTAGGTTCGGTCATATATCTACGTTAGTTTTAACTCCAATAAAAAAACATTGACCTCATACATAATGAAATGGGCAGCTTTATCATTTCATAAGAAAAAAAATTGAGAAATTATAATATTTCAGGAAAACTTGGCTTATTAGGCAAATCGGGCATTGCATAGTAGGCTGAGAAGTGCGTTCTGGCTACTAGGTACGACATATATATATATATATATATATATATATATATATATATATAACTGAAAACTCACACCCCAGAAGTGACTCGAACCCATACTCCCAGGAGCAACGCAACTGGTATGTACAAGACGCCTTAATCCGAGTCACTTCTGGGGTGTGGGTTTTCAGTTGCATATTGTCCTGGGGACCATTCAGGCTTGTTCGCATTTGTGTTCCTCACGTGTGCCCCAAAGAATGAGGTGATTTGGTAAAATGCTATGCCCAAGATTACTATCCGAGTGCCGGCGGTGGGGTGGTTCAAATAGCCTCGGCTATCACCTCATTATGTCCGGTCGTGATGGTCAAGTGGATTAAGGCGTCTTGTACATACCAGTTGCGTTGCTCCTGGGAGTATGGGTTCGAGTCACTTCTGGGGTGTGAGTTTTCAGTTGCATATTGTCCTGGGGAGCATTCAGGCTTGTTCGCATATATATATATATATATATATATATATATATATATATATATATATATATATATATATATATATATATATATATATATATATATATATATATATATATATATATATATATAATATATGTTGAATATGACCGAAAAGGTAAGATTAATAATTCTAACGTGAATTTTCTTAATATTCCTTATGTTTTTCTTTACTGTGGAGGGTAATTGAAATATCAATTCTTCAAAATTCATTTTTATTTTTGGTTTGACGCCTGAAGGCGTTTTGTAATGCTTATTACATTTTCAAACACTTAGTTTACACATAAAAATTCATCGTACTTATACTCGTTTTGGGTGAGGTGATATGGCATAAAGTTTTGGTTGAGGTGACAAACAGAAGACAGAACACGAAACAATGACTATGAAAACATAAGAATGGAAGTAACTGCAGAAGGCCTATTAGCCCATACTTCCTCTTGCCGCTTCTGTGTTGGTTCGGGGGTCTTGAAATGGGTAGAATATAGTAGTGCACTAATTGGCTGTTGATTGCTGGTGTTGACTTTTTGATGTGTAGTGCCTCGCTGATGTCGAACCGCCTGCTATTGCTGTACCTATCGATGATTTCAGTTTTGCTTGTTAAGATTTTGAATGCTGTTAAGATTTCTAAAGATGTTAAGACAACACAGAAATCATCGATATATACAGCGATAACAGAAGGCTCGATGGTGGGAACGGTCGACAGGACGGCCGGGCTGGATGTATAGGACTTGTATTGTTCGGGTTCAGACGATGCTAAATAGTCTTCTGGTTTGGTGCCTTCTTTTGATAATTGTAGAACATTTGAAATTTACATTGATTGCAGTTTTTCTGAGAATAACTATCGGTTTAGAGATCAGTAATTGAACTATTGTACTGTATTAATATAGTCTATTAACAGTCACTGAAAACTTTGTTCTAGTGAGCATTTTCCTTTTTATCAGTTAGGCAAAGAGGTTTTATGGAGAAATATGTTCTTACAAATTATTGTGACCATTTAGCAAGTATTATGAAGTATGATGAATTCATAAATTTTCCTTTATATCAGATCACGAGCCTCAGGATGATGAGAGACCCGGCCTTGTTGATCCTCCTATACCTTGGTAAGTTGTAATTGTGTTATAAATATCTATGTTATTGATTCTTTCTAATATTTTACTGATGAGTTGCAAGATTTTAATTAAAAAAAAAGTTTAATAAATGTTTCTTTTGAATAAGGAACTTGCATGTTACCCACATCAGTGTGGAAGCACGAAATTATGATGGAGTACTTGCATGTCATCCTCATTAGTGTGGGATAATAGTGAAGTATTTGCGTGTCGCGCTAATCAGTATGAATGAAGTTCTTGCGTGCCGCTCTAGTCATTGTGAGAGTATGATCTAAGATAGTATTCATAGGAACGTGTTGGGTACGAAGTTTTAGTTTAGTTCATTTATTATAGAAGTATAGCTTTATTCACAATAATACTAATACTAATTTATTCACAATAAGGTACAATGGGTTGGTGAGATTACATAAGATTGGGATTTGTACATTTTTGTAAAGGTTCAGTCCCTGAGCCCATTATGTGCCTCTTTCCACTACCGCCCACAAGATGGGTATGGGGTGCATAATAAATGAACTAAACTAAAAAAAAAAAAAAAAACTTGTAAAGCCACTAACACACATAACGTTTCGGGCACGAAACGTTTTCAGCAGGATTCCGTGTTCATGTTTAACTTAAGCACAAGGATGCTCGGCTTTACATACCCGTAAGTAATGTGTACACTTTGAAATTCACGCGCGCATATATGTACCTATGACACGCTCCATAATCATTAGATGCTGCTGCTCGGTATAGAGTTCTCCCACAACAGCGTCAAATACGTTCTAAATATCTCATGAATAGGAAATGTAGATGTTTATCTCTCAGAATGTTTGGTAATATGTTTATTGTTTGTGATGTGTTTATATGTATGTATTAACACGATGTACTGAACGGGGTGAGAATAGCTTGAGCTACCTCATCCCTTTGTGTGTATTTTACCTCAATAAACTTATTTCAATTTCAGTTTCAATCTCATGAAACATTGTACGCCTATATTCTTGCATACAAAAATATTGGTGTTTTTATTGTGACGTCAGTAAGCCCGCTGACTTAAAACTGACCTTGTAAACGTTCGCATCAAAACTATTCACATATTTTACAGTGCTATGTAGTTATATGCAAACAAATCCAAAGAATTTAGAGAAAAATGTGCGACTAATGTTTAAGGATTATTCAAAGATTTAGTTCAGGATGACAATTTACGCAAAATCATAGTCAATTATAGCACGTTTGTAGCCTGTGGACAGCGCAGGTGTGTGTGTACTCCTCTTCTCGTTACAACACCTCGCATTTTGACGTATAATTTACCTAAAGCCAAAAACCGATGTACAAGAAAATAGTAGTAGCTCGCCAAATTGACAATGTCCGGTTTTCTGTCCGTGGGTCCTCTGGTTGGTTAGGCTAGGGCACTTTAATTCAACATTTCTTGCCGTTGAGAACGCTCGCGTGAACAAGCTGGAGTAAGCTCGCTCTGATGCAGCAACCCGTTCTCTTGAACTGTGCAACACATTGTGACCTATAATTTCCATAAAGACCAAAAGAAACTGATGTACTAAAAATGATAACGGCTCGCGAAATTGACTATGTCCCGTTTTCTGTTTGTGGTTCCTCGGGTAGGTTAGGTGCTACGGGGCTGATAATTATGGTATACTCAATGTAAACTTACCATTATACTGTGCTCCAGGGCTGCCTTATTTATTTCAAATATATAATCTAGCAAGCCCTCCAAGTCTGGTTCCAGGGAAAGTACTTTCACATATTTACCTGCTTTATGGTATGCTAGACCCCTCCACATTGGACTCAAGGAATAACTAGTAAGTATACTTTGTGGTTTATTAATCACAGAACCATTTGCCATGACAAAACACCCTGGCACTGCCTGTTGACATTTAGTAGAGTACGTTATGCTCAGACACACTCCCCCTTGGACAAGGATAAAGCCTCAAACGAAACACATTAGATAGGCCCAAAAACCTCTGAAGGAGGTACAATTGGAATAGCCCATAACCTCCATAGACATAAGAAAATCCTCTCTAAACACTCCCACAAACACAATAACAGTGGAAAAAGCTTAGAGTTGCTCACAGTAAGAATAGTTAATAAACTAGATCGGTGTTCAATACTTAAAAAACTATACAAGAACTTTACTCTGACTCATTTGACCATCACCAATTTCTTACATTGTCACACCATATATAATGCACCGTTCTGACTGTTTATTAATTCACTAATATACATTATATAATTAATAATAATAATAATGAAGTAAAATTATTAATAATTAATTATCTTTTCTTAAAACTAACCAGAAGTTTACATGGCAATAATCACTTATGTGTCTGACAGCAATGCACGCTCAACTGCCTCCAGACTCAGTGTGATCACTTTATCTGTTTGCAACATTATCATGTTTCACTATCCAAGACCACCGTGGTAATAACATCAGGCAATTTAGTATAACAGTTTAGTGATGCTGGGTTTATTTGCTTACCTCTTAACCACTATAACATTGACATTTTGCATTTGAATATAATCAAGCATTGGTGTTATTTATTATATTGTCTTGCAAACGTTCTGTAAATAATAACTGTAAAATAATTCTGTAAATAGCCCGAAACGCTATGCGTACTAGTGGCTTTAGGTATTGGATGTACTAGCTCTATCTTTAAATCCAACATTATGTTTGTAACTCATCTTCAATGTATATATCTTTACCTGAATAAAACAAATCTAATCTAATAAGCTGAAGGTTAGCGAATGATTAGACGGGTGACTTAAGGTTGACAATTGAATTAGTTGACGAGCTAATTGATATTGATTGACGACGCAGGTAGACAAGAGCTAACTAATAAAGTCATAAGTGTGAATGGAGGTTGTGTACAGTGCAAGTGTCTTATGAATGAGATAAGTAGCTTAGCTAGCTGGTAGGAACTGTTATAACTGGAGTTGCATTTACTTTCCATGCAATTTCAAGATTAGACATTCTCTATTGCTTTTCGCAAGCAAAATTTTTTTCTGTCACATGAGAGTGATTGCAGACGTACCTGTAATATACCAAAAGAAGACGTGTCATAATTCAACGTTTTATGTTTCACAGTTCTTCCAAATGAAGTTTGGGCAGCTGAGAGACGCTATGATGCTTACCAGCATGATATAAGGAAAGCCATGACACCATCCTCCAACGACACTGTCAATAGTGTCACCATTTTTAACACCGCTCCAAATAATATCAAAGCCTCCATCTCTACCACTAACAACGCGACGACTTATCAGGAATACAGGTAATTATGACTTTTTTTTATCTTAATTGGAGCCACCATGACTGAGAGAGAGAGAGATAGTGTGAGAGATACCTGTATGAAGCTAAGTTAGTTGAGTGAAAGAGGTTAGCTATATGAAGCTTGATTAGCTGTGTGGGAGAGAGGTTAGCTATATGAAGCTAGGTTAGCTATGTGAGCCTAGGTAAGCTGTGTGAGAAAGGTTTACTATATGGGGCTATAGGGTTAGCTGTGTGAACGATGTTAGCTATATGAGACTAGGTAAGGTATGTGAGACAGGTTTACAATATGGAGCTAAGGTTAGGTGTAGGAGAGAGGTTAGCTATACGAGGTTAGGTTAGGTAATATAAAATACAAACATTTGGAAGGAAATAAATAACGAAACTTTAAACAATCAAACGTTATAGGAAGAGATTTACCGAGATAAAACCTTCTTGTTGTAAAACAACAAAATCGACATGTAAAGTAAACAAACTTGTTGCTCTTAACCTGATTGACTTTTCTTTATCTGCTTATAATAATTGCTAATTTCCTGCAGGGTGGATGAGGACCTGCGCTTTACACACCTAATGACTTTCCTCATCAAGCTCACCTCCGGCCGACAGATATATTTGGTGTACGATGACGTCACTCCAGGTAGAGATCAATTTTAATGTCTTTAATATTTTATTTATTTATTTATATTAGAGTTCTTACATTCTTGTAAAGTCACCAGCCACGCATAGGGTTTCGGGCAGGTCCTTAATCTTACTTTTTCCCCGGAATACGACCCGCCAAATCGTTTAACAACCAGGTACTCATTCATTGCTGAGTGAACAGAGGCTACAGTTAAGGATTGGCGCCCTGTCAATCCTCCCCAGCCAGGATAGGAACCCAGGCCAAAGCGCTCGCGAAGCGCCAAACGAATGTTTTTACCTCTGCGCCACGGAGACCTTTTTTTTATTAGTATTGTCTTTAATATAAGCAATTAATTTGAAACTAAAAATAAGTTCAGCGTTTTCGTGCGTTCCAGTTTTAATTTGTCAGGGGTGTTTATAGTCAGCCAGATATATATAGCAGTCAATATAGGGCCGTCTCACTTTATTATTTAGGCAGCGATACTTGTTACTAATGAAGTGATGTGCCACCAGTAGCCGGCAACACAAGCCAAACAAAGGTGTAGGAAGTTAAGTTTACGGTTATAACAAAGCAACACAACCATCATCGCTATAAGTAGTGTGTGTAGCTATGGCGGCCTGAATTGAAATTGAAATTGAAATAAGTTTATTGAGGTAAAATACACACAAAGGGATGAGGTAGCTCGAGCTATTCTCACCCCGTTCAGTACATCGTGTTAATACATACATATACACACATCACAAACAATAAACATATTACCAAACATTCTGAGAGATAAATGGCGGCCTGACCTTCCTCCATATAGCGAGCGGCACGCAACACACTCAATACATTAACTCAAAGAGTTATTATTAAGTATTTTAAATTATTAATTTTATTGCTCCGTCATATTCCACCATCACGAGACTGGGACAAGACATACTTGATATTGATTATTACTAATATCTGATCAAGCTAAATTAATAAGCCAATAGTTACAAGAGATGTATAACCGTGACATTAGTGGGAGACAATTGTTATTGGAGAACTATAACGTCGTTCCCGTTTGTCGTCCCTGTGTATTTCCTAACAATAACTGAATCTAATTTATACAATCTAGAGATAATGTTTAAAATATTATCTAAATTGTATTTACCTTGATTCATTTATGTTTATTTTTTTTAAAGATTTACAAGATTCCTTTTTTTAACACTGCTCAGATTGATTGGGTAAGCATATTAAACCTCTTGAAACCTGTTATACTGTTTGTCTCAATGATAGCTGGCAGCTAATTTCATTTATTCATAACTAATATATTCCCAAACAAAGAAATAATTAACCACCGCATAATCAGAACATTGATTAAGGTGGGACTGTTTTGAGCATAACGGTAAAATTTCAACAATGACCCCATAAGTTACCATGAAACTATTTAAATAATCACAATGACCCATAAATGACCATACTGACCCCCCAAAATAACTATAATGACCAATAATAACAAAAAATAACATATGATCAATATGACCCGATAAGTGATCATTATAACCCCCGATACTCATCACTATACTACCGAGATTCCTCGGTAGTATAGTGGTGAGTATCCCCGCCTGTCACGCGGGAGACCGGGGTTCGATTCCCCGCCGGGGAGGAATGTTTTGGAGCTGGTCGGGACAGCACACTGGTCTTGTGGTCCCGGGTTCGATCGCGGGCGCCGGCGAGAAACAATGGGCAGAGTTTCTTTCAGCCTGTGCCCCTGTGACTTAGCAGTAAAATAGGTACCTGGGTGTTAGTCAGCTGTCACGGGCTGCTTCCTGGGGGTGGAGGCCTGGTCGAGGACCGGGCCGCGAGGTCACTAAAGCCCCGAAATCATCTCAAGATAACCTCAAGATAACCCCTCCCCCCATAAATTATCATTATGATCGCATAAATGATCATAAAGATCCCATAAATGACCTCTCTGTTACCAACGGGAGACCTGAATGTAGAACAAATGGTAGATTGTTTTGGGATAAACATGGCACTGAATAGCCTAACCATTCCCAGTCCCTAGCCTAAGCGCTAGATTTCAACTTACATAATTTAGTAGAATTAGATCGTCTTGTAAGGTTGTCAGCAAATCTGGAGACACTTATAGTGTGTGTGTGTGTGTGTGTGCAGGAGTAGGAGGCGTGTTGAGGGCGTGCCGGGAGGCGTGGGTGGACACCACTCTGCTCCCTTACCAGCCCACCGCCGCCCTGCTCACAGAGACACTCAGAGCCTACTATCACGTCCAACCCATCAGGAACGTCTTTGTCCTCTGCTCCCCGCCCCACCTCGCCGCTCTTTTTCAAAAAGTAAGTCAACGCTTCAACAGTTATTTAAATTAAAATATATACAATATGTTAAAAGTGGCGTTGTGAAACGAATGTATTTAGATAGATAGATAGAAAAGATTACCATTATGAGTGAGATCGAGGGGAAGTGGGGATAAGAACAATTATGAAAAGGAGGTAGGCCGTGTGGGAAAACTCTGGGCAGAAAATACCGTTATATGAAACCCAAGGTGTAGGAATGGGGGACCCCCCGAAGGCAAAGGACTGTTCCCCATGGCATAAGTGTCAGATATGCTCGTAAAACTCAAATTCCGAGAAGACACATGTGATATTCTGTGAAAACCCGAAGGCACCCTAGCTAGCGTGACATGGCGGATGGGCTCTCAACACCTGTCCATTACGAGGGTTCATTTTGCCATCAAGTATGGACATTAATGACGTAGACATCACTCCCAAAACGTTCATTACTTGCGCATGTTTTGATAGTGACAGGACTCGTGAGTATCATCAAATTGTCGTTAACCAAATCACACACTAGAAAGTGAAGGAACGACGACGTTTCGGTCCGTCCTGGACCATTCTCAAGTCCACAATCACAATCGACTTGAGAATGGTCCTGGATGGACCGAAACGTCGTCGTCCCTCCACTTTCTAGTATGTGATTTGGTCAACATATTTCAGCCACGTTATTGTGACTCCTCGTCTGCAAATTGTCGTTATATTGAATGTGCGAGATGGTAGTGTGTATGGTAATAGTTCATCAAATTGAACTGGAAACGACACACTTATGCATGATCATAAAACTAAGATTCTTTCCATTATTAAGAGATATAACAATGATTATTTATTTTTTTGGCCGGAATCCTCGTACCACAACCATTTCTTTCTCTCCCACACAACCAATTACGTTCATTCTGTAGGACACTTCTCGATTCAATGACAGACCATAAGCTAGTCTTAGGGGTGTAATCTGTATCCATTAGCCTATCATTCGTCATTGTTTTATTCACCAGACGGTAAATTTGTTGAAGGCATTTTGTAAATTGAACTATTCTGCGTCTGTGACTTTTCTGGTCAAAGTTTTTTGAATATATAATTTTAAAATGTGAATAAATTCGTTATCTTTTACTTTGAAATTCATGTTGGTTATCCGTTATGTTTTCTGGAAATTTAATTTCCTAGTAAAGGGTTTCGAGTCTTTTACCTACCTTTTTTTTTACTCTAATAAGGGTTTCGATCTGTCGTCTGTGTTAAATATTAGAGTTATGGCAGATAATATCCAGTTATTTGGTACTTTGCCATCTTGTATAGATTTGTTAATTTTGCTGTTATTTTTTTTATATATATTTAAATATATTTGTTATAAATATATTTAAATATACACACACTACAAATACCAATAACTGCAAACAGAACCTATAACTTAAGTTAGGCCTGACTCTTCAACACATTTTAGTATATAATAATATTAACATATATTTGAGAAAATTAAAATTTTTAATACCCAGTACGTTGATATTGATGAAAGCGTCTTTGGGGTCGACCCGAACTTTGGGGTTTGGGTTGGACGAGCATGACATGCTGAGCCACTGACTACCTCTAGAATAAAACATTCGCCCGTCTCTTTTGTTTGACTTTAGGTCTAACTGATGGTATCTCTGACTGATTAATTAGTCAGATCACTTACTTCAGGTGGGTACCAACATGGGCTTGGTGTTAATAGCCACAGCTAGAAAGCCGGGTACCAATTGCTTAATCCTACATAACCCGTATCAATCCTAACAGGGTGTTAATATGTTCTGTTGCTAATACTGCTCTTTGACTGTGGTTTTACACTTTCGTTAATATATCGAGTATTATTCACCGCATTTTCGTCAATTGAAAGAATTTGATGTAAAATTCTCTTTTTTTTTTAATTTTTTTATGAATTGCTTCTCAACATTGGTTCCTCTCTCCTTCTAATGCTCACCTTTGCAGTTGGTATTGCCCATCAATGAACTGAAAACTGTACTACACTCTTATTTGGTGGATCACCCTAACATGTGTAACTATGTACGCCGTCCATGACCGGGGTGCTGCCAGTTCCCCTGGTTGTGTATCCGTCCTTGACTTTCACACACACACACTCAATATTCCCACAATATTTCAACGACATCCGCGATTAAAATCGCCCACACACACACACAGCTGCTCCTCAGCACAGCGGTGAAACACAATACCTTATCATCTATCCGTGCAGTGTTCTCATACTTTGCTCCACCCTCATGTATTAAGTAGGTCTTCATATGCAGAGGACTCGGTCATAGGCCACCTTATTAATGTCGTTACCTTCGGGCTTCCAAGACAGTTCCTGTTATTGTTATTTATTTATTTAAAAACTCAAGCTTTGTTCTTCCTTTGCTTTGTTAAAATAATTGTATACATTCGATTCTTGACAGATGTCCTCTACACAGGATCGTTTCTCGCAAGAGATAATACATTTCGAAGGAGAAGTTAAGAAAATTATTACTTTTTTTTTACACTTCTTGTGACGTTCCAAAGAGCATAGTATAGTTTGATTTACTGATATTTTCTTCGTCATGAGCTGGATAGCGTGAATGGGAACCAATATCAGGTATTTTAGCCAGAGTTGATTTGTTTTTGTATTGAGGCTGGTATTTGCTCCCATGACTCCATGTATGACTTACCATCCTGTGAGATGGGAATATTAGATGAACTAATAACTAGATTTTTGATCTACACTGTGTAATCTTTCATATAGAATAGGGTAGCAGCACATTGCTGTGTATACTTAATCTTGTTAATAATAATTACAAATACTACAGAGACAAACTAGAATAGATTAGAATGTGTCGTTATGGCAACCTAGATTCTAGCAAAAAAAGAAGTGAACGTTTTATGTGCCGCCTAGTTACGAGCCTAGCGCACTTTGATATTGGAAGACATTTACAATTGCTTTATTCTATGATCATTTTTTTAATAATCGCCGGATCAAGAACCTTTGAGGCCGGCACCTTTATACATCTCTGCAAATGTTCATTACTGAATTATTTTGCTGCAAATGTGAAATATTTCATATTTGATGTTAGAAAGTAGACAAATTATTAATATGAATTAACTATTTATGAATTCACTTGATCTCTCCCGTGTGCAAACAGTTATAGTTGGTTGAGGGTCTGTAGATGTGATTCAACACTATATTCTCTCTCTCTCTCTCTCTCTCTCTCTCTCTCTCTCTCTCTCTCTCTCTCTCTCTCTCTCTCTCTCTCTCTCTCTCTCTCTCTCTCTCTCTCTCTCTCTCTCTCTTGCTCTCTCTCTCTCTCTCTCTCTCTCTCTCTCTCTCTCTCTCTCTCTCTCTCTCTCTCTCTCTCTCTCTCTCTCTCTCTCTCTCTCTCTCTCTCTCTCTTGCTCTCTCTCTGCTCTCTCTCTCTCTCCTCTCTCTCTCTCTCTCTCTCTCTCTCTCTCTCTCTCTCTCTCTCTCTCTCTCTCTCTCTCTCTCTCTCTTGCTCTCTCCCTCTCTCTCTCTTGCTCTCTCTCTCTCTCTCTCTCTCTCTCTCTCTCTCTCTCTCTCTCTCTCTCTCTCTCTCTCTCTCTCTCTCTCTCTCTCTCTCTCTCTCTCTATCTCTCTCTCTCTCTTGCTCTCTCTCTCTCTCTCTCTCTCTCTCTCTCTCTCTCTCTCTCTCTCTCTCTCTCTCTCTCTCTCTCTCTCTCTCTCTCTCTCTCTCTCTCTCTCTCTCTCTCTCTCTTGCTCTCTCTCTCTTGCTCTCTCTCTCTCTCTCTCTCTCTCTCTCTCTCTCTCTCTCTCTCTCTCTCTCTCTCTCTCTCTCTCTCTCTCTCTCTCTCTCTCTCTCTCTCTCTCTTGCTCTCTCTCTCTCTCTCTCTCTCTCTCTCTCTTCTCTCTCTCTCTCTCTCTCTCTCTCTCTCTTGCTCTCTCTCTCTTGCTCTCTCTCTCTCTCTCTCTCTCTCTCTCTCTCTCTCTCTCTCTCTCTCTTGCTCTCTCTCTCTCTCTCTCTCTCTCTCTCTCTCTCTCTCTCTCTCTCTCTCTCTCTCTCTCTCTCTCTCTCTCTCTCTCTCTCTCTCTGCTCTCTCTCTCTCTTCTCTCTCTGCTCTCTCTCTCTCTCTCTCTCTCTCTCTCTCTCTCTCTCTCTCTCTCTCTCTCTCTCTCTCTCTCTCTCTCTCTCTCTCTCTCTCTCTCTCTCTCTCTCTCTCTCTCTCTCTCTCTCTCTCTCTCTCTCTCTCTCTCTCTCTCTCTCTCTCTCTCTCTCTCTCTCTCTCTCTCTCTCTCTCTTGCTCTCTCTCTCTTGCTCTCTCTCTCTTGCTCTCTCTCTCTTCTCTCTCTCTCTCTCTCTCTCTCTCTCTCTCTCTTGCTCTCTCTCTCTTGCTCTCTCTCTCTCTCTCTCTCTCTCTCTCTCTCTCTCTCTCTCTCTCTCTCTCTCTCTCTCTCTCTCTCTCTCTCTCTCTCTCTCTCTCTCTTGCTCTCTCTCTCTCTCTCTCTCTCTTGCTCTCTCTCTCTCTCTCTCTCTCTCTCTCTCTCTCTCTCTCTCTCTCTCTCTCTCTCTCTCTCTCTCTCTCTCTCTCTCTCTCTCTCTCTCTCTCTCTCTCTCTCTCTCTCTCTCTCTCTCTCTCTCTCTCTCTCTCTCTCTCTCTCTCTCTCTCTCTCTCTCTCTCTCTCTCTCTCTCTCTCTCTCTCTCTTGCTCTCTCTCTCTTGCTCTCTCTCTCTTGCTCTCTCTCTCTTGCTCTCTCTCTCTTGCTGTATCTCTCTTTTTCGCTCTCTCTTACGTCTTTTACATATTTTATTAACAAATCCTCTGATAAATTATTAAAATATTGAAATTATTTGTAAAACAGTCTCGCTTTTCACAAAAAAAATGTTTAATATTTACTCTTTTTCTAGAGATAGTTGATTTCAACCATTATTGTGTCAGTCTCATCTTAACGATATCCTATTATCTTATTGTGTGTGTGTGTGTGTTCACCTAGTTGTACTCACCTAGTGGTTGTTGTGCTGTGTGTGTCCGTGCCGTGCTGGCTCGTGTATATGAGCCGGAGGTAGGGTTAAGTAACACTGGTGCGGTGTCAGGTAAAGGAGAAGGTGCTGGAGTCGTCGACGATACAGTGGTTCGTCATCGTGCAGGAGGACCTGACGGAGGCGCTGGCAGGGCTGCTGAGGGAAGGTACTCAGGTGAGCTGTAACACTCTTACTACTGAGATCTTATGCACTTACTGATCTTAAGTTCTTACTCGTGAGATCTCACGTTAACAGTCAGAGAGCTTTCCGTTCCTATAGCTCTTGGTAACCCTTGCCTTACTAATTTTCGTTGAACACGACCCACTAAACGGTTAACAACCAGGTACTCAATTATCGGTGGGTGAATAGGGGCTGCGAACTGCTAAGGACTGGTGCCCAGTTAATCCTCTTTGGCCAGGACTCGAATTCAAATCTAATTGCACTCGCAAAGTTAAAGAAATGTTAATTTTCCTTTCAAGTGATTACTGTTATTGTTTTACTGTATTTTACAACTTTTAGTCAAGTTTTTGTTGTGTTGGCTACGTTATTCAACTTCCCAGTTCTTCATCCTCGGCGCCTGTATCAACTGGGTTGAAGTCTGGATTGAGCACATTGATTGCTTGCACTCTCAGGTGGGTCCCTCTACTCACCAGCGGATGACCTCTAAGTGTGTAGGAACAAGTTACTTATAAGTATCAATTATTGCTCCTCTAACACGAATATAGACGTTAATGGTCAATATTTCTCATATAGACCTCTAGTTCAGCTTGTCAAATGGGCTTTTAATGCATGTTGGTCACGCACTTAATAATTTACCGGTTGCCTTTCTCTTATATCTAAAACATTTACGATGAATCGTCAAGATGACGTTATTTCTAGTGATATAGTGACATCGTTAGGGGTAAGAAGCACAACATATTGGAAACATCCATCAGAGCCCCGGGGGGCGGTGTATTATTTACACGTTCGGGGTAGTCTAGGCATCTATTCTCTTGGTGTGTGTGTATGTCTGCAGGTGGCGCTGGTGAGACGTGTGTCCCCTGGCAAGGTTCGACTCCTCTCCTCCAGGGTCGACCCCGATGGTACAATTAGGTGAGTTGTGGTGGTGAGTTTAGGTGATGCTCCAGCTGAGGTGAGTAGTGAGGAGGGGGGAGAGGGGGGGTGAGGGAGGGGAGGGGGTTAGTTGAGGTAAGACACACTCTAGGTAATTATGAGACAACAAACGGAATTTCTATTGTTATATTAAAAAATAATATCTATTTAAAATAGATATCGGATCTCTAAAATCTGATACAACGTACCTCGCTTTGCCTTGGTAACACTTTAATATTCGTTCATCGTTCCATATCTCACCTAAGGTAGCTGTGCTTGGGGATCTTCAACCCAAAATTACCTAAGATCCCATTATTGCTTAACATAAATCAGCAATTATAATAATTACAAATTACAAACCCAGACACCATAAACTCAAGTGTACTCTGACTATAAAACTCTGAACTGCGATACTAATATTGACCTTAAACGCTTCGTAGAAAGACTAACAAAACCCATGAGCACTACACGAGAAACAAATATATCTTTTTATATTCTTAGAGTGCGCTCAATCGTACCAGAAATGCAATACAAATTGTGGAATCACCTCCCAAATGAGATTAAAAGCTGCATTTCTCTCAACCAGTTTAAACATAAACTAAGAAATATCTAATTAATATCATGTAACAAATTTTACTTATATTGCCTCATCCAAAATAATCCAATTTTGTGTTTTGCTGTTATTGTAAACATTAAATACTATAACTCTACTATTGCTAGAACTACCAATGTATAATAAAGTTGTCTATGCCTTTCATCGTTAAGCATCACTTACATATATAATTTGTAAGCATCACTTATATATATATAATTTGCTAAATTCCATGACCTCTTCGTGTATCTTAGCATACTTCTCATTCAGTATTAAGTCTTACCCAATCAAACCTATAAATAATTTAACTGATTCATTTTACTTAATACCCGAAACTCTTTGCGTAATAATGGCTATTTAAATATGCATTATATGTAACAACTAATAATAATAATTTATATTATTCTATGTATTCTCTACATTCCCAAGTAAGAGGCTTCACCGTATCCTCGATTACCAAGAACAGCCGAAACATATTCATTAAAGCCAATAACGTAATAACTAAAGAATAGTTAGTTAGGTTCTGATATAACATTTACTATATACACAGTATTGGTAGTTTATATATAATAAAGTGTCTCTTAAGATTCCATAGAGTTGGGTCTTGGTCTGAGAAGGAGGAGAGGACCTCCAGGGTCCAGGAGGTGAAGAAGGCCCTCGTCTCCAACCTGCTGGAGCTCTACTCGGACTTACAGGGCCGCCAACTGCTGGTCACGACCAATAATAATTGGCCTTTCTTCAAGATCAACACTCTCAACAATGGCACCGTCATCCCACTCTCCGGCATTGATCTCCAGGTCATCACTACCATTAGTGAAGCCCTCAACTTCACGTCAGTATATACAGTTCACAACGTCAGTATACACAGTGTACACAGTTCACAGCGTCAGTATACACAGTTCACAACGTCAGTATACACTGTACACAGTTCACAACGTCAGTATACACAGTGTACAACGTCAGTATACACAGTTCACAACATCAGTATACACAGTGTTTGTACACAGTTCACAACATCAGTATACGCTCACATCATAATTTCTGTAACTTTTTCTTCCATCAGTGCACCCATGCCAATTTTTTTGTAATGAAACCCTCTAGATACTCTTTACGCGTATATGTGATGACATTTTTATTGCCACAGTAATGGGGACGCGCTTGTGGCGTCCCATCATCAACACTCAATTTGTCTATGCTTAATGATCGACTCATAAAATGTGTGAGTGGTTGAGGTAGTGTGGATTCCTGGTAGGTACAAGCTGGTGCGTCCTCCTGACGGCAAGTGGGGCGGCCCGCAGCCTGACGGGGTTATTACCGGCCTGGTGGGGCAGGTAGCCAGACACGAGGCTCACGCCACACTCTGCGAACTCTCCATCACTGGTATGACCTTCTTTACACACAGAAATCACAATTGCGTGATGCATCAAATGAACAAATCCACAAAGGCCGTGACGAGGATTCGAACCTGCGACTCGTCCTCCCGACTCCGAGAGACCATTTTGACCATGTCGTAGCTCAGTCGATTAAGGCAGCGTCTGGAATGCTCTCGGACACAGGTTCGAATCCTCGTCACGGCCCTTGTGGATTTGTTCGTATGACCTTCTCAGTGCTACGTTATTCAATAAGATAAGTTGTTCTCGGTACATTGAAAACATACAAAAATTAAAAGTATATACGCCACCGCAGTTTTTTTGTGTTTAATTAAACCATAATATTGCAAAAATTAATGATTGTAATTTTCGGTGACTGTTACTAGTTATGTCTAGTCAAATGCGAAGCGAATTTATAAATTTGTTAACGTTAACTATGCGTTGTTATAAATGTACCAGCGTGAAACTGTAGATGAAGTTGGTGATGGGCTTAAGGCCTATTAACCTAGGGATGATTATTAAGACCACCAGCAAGTATAACTTATTCTTGAACGTAGTCCTGGACTAAAGCAAATTCCCAGGACAGGAAGTGTCACCAATTCTGATCCTCTCCATTGCTGACTGCTAAACAGATGTTCTAGGCCAGCCCATCCTTCTATTAAGATAGTACTTATTTGTACATTTAACCAAATAGTACCTATATGTAGTGCCATACCCCAAAAGTTTACATTTTGTACTATTGAATTAGCCTAAATGGCATATTAGAAAACTGGAAATGTAATTAAATAACCTTACCTAATCTGTCTAAGTAATCCTAGGGGCAAATGTACGTTATCTTAGGTCTAATATAGTACATCTTGTGTGCTATACTAAACCAAGGAATGTTTAAGTTTGGTTTTACCTTTTTTCGTGCCCTCTACAACATTAATAGTAAAAAATGAGCCTTTTGTAGGTCCAACAATACCTAGGTGTACGTTCGACCAAATAGTTACTATGAGTATATATATTTATATATATATATATATAAATATATATATAATGTGGCGATCTCATAGCAAGTGTCCCCAGAACTGGCTGACTATTACAGATCCCATAATATGTTTTATTAAGACAAATGTTAAATTTCGGCTCTTTTTTTTTTTATCCAGGAGGCCAATTAAGTGAGTGGCAATTTGGACTCAAAATTGAGAAGTTGGTTCTGCTGGTCGTTTAACTGGTGATCAGGCCTATGAATGTCATAGTGTTATACTGTATATTAAACGTGTTATGTGATAATATTTTTTATAAAACATTAAAAATTTATTTTCCCACATTGTCAGCAAGATGTACTTTTCATAGTGTTATTTATGACTTTAATAAACAAATATTTAAATTAAATTATTACTTTCACAAAGACCACTAAGTTCAGTAGATAAGTAGATGAACCATTTCTTACCTCGATTAACTAATATCCTATGTACACAATCTACTAAGAAAACGGTTTCTTAATCATATATTTAGATCTTTATGATTTAATTATCATATGTGATTCCTTCCATTCTTAGAGGCCCGTGAGAGTGTGACGGACTTCACGATGCCATACTACATGGAGTCCACAACATTAGTGTCGAACGCCCCTAAGGAGAAAAATCGAGCGTTCGCTGTCTTTTCACCCTTCAGAGCCGAGGTACATGTCTTCAAGGATCGTTGTCAACCTGGAAAGAACAGTAGGGGGCTCTTTTCCATGTATTTACTTAATTGCTAGCTATTTGGAGTAAAAAGTATATCTATAATATGTTTCAAACTTGCAGTTTTATATATACATTTTTGGTGATATATTTTGCTGCAAAAGGTATGGATGTGCATATGCAGTGTAACGACAGTGATTGGTCCGTTACTGTACGCGCTGAGTCGCTTGATGGTCAAGTACTTAGGGATGGAAGATCGCACCCAGTACAGCATGCAGAGTCTGGCTTTCAATATGTACAGGACCTTGATGGTCCAGGGCAACCTCGTCCGCTCCCCTCATTGGACCCTCCGCTTCATCTTCGTGTTTTGGTACCTGTTCTCCTTTTATATATATGGTGAGACTTGGGTTAGCAATTTTCATTATCGCACAAGCACCACCTACCGCCGTTCCTCAAGGAATATAATATAATATAATATATATATAATATATATATATATATATATATATATATATATATATATATATATATATATATATATATATATATATATATATATATATATATATGTCGTACCTAGTAGCCAGAATGAAATTCTCGGCCTACTATGCAAGGCCCGATTTGCCTAATAAGCCAAGTTTTCCCGAATTAATATATTTTCTCTAATTTTTTTTCTTATGAAATGATAAAGCTACCCATTTCATTATGTATGAGGTCAATTTTTTTATTGGAGTTAAAATTAACGTAGATATATGACCGAACCTAACCAACCCTACCTAACCTAACCGAACCTATCTTTATAGTTTAGGTTAGGTTAGGTAGCCGAAAAAGTTAGGTTAGGTTAGGTTAGGTAGGTTAGGTAGTCGAAAAACAATTAATTCATGAAAACTTGGTTTATTAGGCAAATTGGGCCTTGCATAGTAGGTTGAGAAGTGCGTTCTGGCTACTAGGTACGACATATATATATATATATATATATATATATATATATATATATATATATATATATATATATATATATATATATATATATATATATGTCGTACCTAGTAGCCAGAACTCACTTCTCGGCCTACTATGCATGGCCCGATTTGCCTAATAAGCCAAGTTTTCATGAATTAATTGTTTATCGACTACCTAACCTACCTAACCTAACCTAACTTTTTCGGCTACCTAACCAAACCTAACCTATAAAGATAGGTTAGGTTAGGTTAGGTAGGGTTGGTTAGGTTCGGTCATATATCTACGTTAATTTTAACTTCAATAAAAAAAAATTGACCTCATACATAATGAAATGGGTAGCTTTATCATTTCATAAGAAAAAAATAGAGAAAATATATTAATTCAGGAAAACTTGGCTTATTAGGCAAATCGGGCCTTGCATAGTAGGCCAAAAAGTGAGTTCTGGCTACTAGGTACGACATATATATATATATATATACACACTTTTTTCAGTTCGTTCTCAGAGTTCGTTTTTCAGTTGTGCTCTCAGAGTGATGCTCTGAGAGCACATCACGGTTCCAATAATAGTCTGTTTGTAAACTGGCAAGTGAACCTTTGTCCTAAACAGAGAATAGTCTCAAGTTCTAACTTTATTGATCTATAAATCGTTGATTTAAAATATATAAAGTATATGCTAAACTCATTTTCTTTGAAACGGTCTGAACAAATTGGGTGTCTTTAAATGAAATTCTAGGGTATACTCAAATAGTTTTTGAATTCCGTATTTCACATTTCTGAGAATAATACACTGTATTAACGTAACCAAATGTAATGAACCTAATCTAATGTAACCTCAACCTAACACCCTTTGACTCCCCCTAACCATGTATAGGGAACAGATAATGGCACTGATTATGTAATGATTTTGAAATTATTATCTCCAGGGAATTTCCTCCCTGAGGACAGGTTGAAAATCAATGAAAAGCTTAAAGCGACTCAAACCATGAGAGGCTTATGACAGCAGACAATTGTCAATCTGCTTCATTTTTTTCTCACTCACAGCCTGCCTTTTCTCTCTCTCAACTCACTAACTACTAAGTTGACCAGACCACACACTAGAAGGTGAAGGGACGACGACGTTTCGGTCCGTCCTGGACCATTCTCAAGTCAATCGACTTGAGAATGGTCCAAGACGGACCGAATCGTCGTCGTCCCTTCACCTTCTAGTGTGTGGTCTGGTCAACATTCTGCAGCCATGTTATTGTGACTCATCGCTTGCTCTAACTACTAAGTCTCCCACCAGCCATGTACTCCGCGACGTTGACGGCGGTGCTAGCGGTGCCGTCGTTTGAGAAGCCTATCGACTCCCTGGAAGACTTAGCCCAGGCACACCGCGACGGGTACATCATAGCCACCACTCGCGACTCTAGCTTCGCCGGCGCCTTCCAGGTCCTATCTTTGTTTCTAACCTCATATTCTAAAATATAAATAATCTAATTTACTATAACAACATTAGTCATACAATTTTTGACATCTTCGCTTTTATATATAAATACTACTATACAGTATAAAGAATAAGAGCAATAATACGGTTTTTGACCTGTTGGCTTTAGCGAGTTATTTTTTGTTAACTCTGTTCATTTATTATGCATTTTATATCCATCCTGTGAGCGGTAGTGGGGACGATACCAAGACGCATATATAATGTATTCAGGAACAGAACCCCAAAATTTGCTTAATTAAGTAAGTTACAGCACCGATGAGCTAGTTATATAATTTGAACCAAAAAACTCTAACAGTATCTTCCCAGTTTATCATACTAACATCACAATGATCTCAAGAGACTCTACAATGAGTGTAAAATAGTATATAGTAAGGTAGTGTGGTGTTCTTAAGCAGAGATTGAGTGGCCTTAAACCCAACAATCAAGTTCACCTTAATAGGGTGATAATGATAATAATAGTTAATTATTCCCAAATTAACTACAGCAAAAGATTAATCCCAAGTTAATTAGCTACAACAAAAGACGTGTAAATATGACGTTATATGAAAATATTATTTTCCAGACCGCAGCTAGTGGCCTGTTCCACGAGGTGTGGAAGCTGTTCAATCACAAGGACCCCGACAAGAGCTTCCTGCCGGCTCCTGCCAGCGGCTTTGATATAGTCAGTCACCAACTGCCTCCTCTTCCCACCTCTCTCTCTTCATAATTTTAATAAACACTTTTCAAAATAATCTGCATGATTTTAAATTTCTATTTTTATTAACCGCTTTGTAAATTTAAACTTTTAAATACAAAATTTTAGTTATTTTTATTGTTTTTATTATAAGCTATTTGTCATTGTTTTATGTGTGTGAATAATGTTAAAGTGTTGAAGAATAATATATATATATATATATATATATATATATATATATATATATATATATATATATATATATATATATATATATATATATATATATATATATATATATATATATATATATATATATATATATATATATATATATATATATATATATAATATGTGTTTGTGTGTCTTACACGGTATTGTTACAAATCTTTCTTCACGTACTGTTGCTTATATTATATCTTAGAGGATGAGTTCAAATATTTTCCATTAACTTATTATTAATAAGAAAAAATAACCTAAGTGAAAATTTTGACTGTACCTGAAATTGTTAGGGGTTATTGCTATGAATATAAGTTATTTATAAGGCTTAACTTTTACCGACATAACTGCTCTTCCTGACAGATTCTGAAGCGTAAGTGCGTGTTCATTAATGCAGAGCTCAACTCAAAGCTGACAGCTACCATGAAGGGCCTCAACAACTATTACATCTCACGCCAGACCTTCCTGCCCCAAGGTTATGGCATCGCTTGCAGCAGCGGCTCCCCCTTCAAGGACGTCTTCAGTAGGATGTGAGTAGCCTTCTCAACTCACAAGTTAAAGCAAATGATGTAGTTATAATTTTAATCAAGAAATTCGGCTGTTTTTCATCTATAATAAGTATAAACTAAATGATCATCAGAGTGAGGGTTTTACACATTCAGATCTATAATTCCGTTTTTCACATCTCTGCAGTATACTCCGGCTGACAGAGGCTGGACTGGTTTACAGGTGGGCAGAGGACGAAGTCAAAAAGGTCGCCAAGAACAACTCTCCTGGTGAGGCAGGACCCAAGGCTGTCAACCTCCACCAACTCCAGGTATTAACATACCTATTTTGTTAGCGAGATGGTTATTAAAGGTCATGACACGCTCTTACTGATCAGTCAGTACGTTTGCTTTATTCTTGAACCTAATTCAGAACAAGTAATTATCAAAGGAAGGCACCAAACCGGGAAGGCTATGTAGCACCACCAAATGTGCAGAGTAATCAGAGGGCGCTAAATATCACCAAGGATGCCAATACGAGAACAGAAACGCAAAAGGCGAACGATATCAAAAGTATCCGATTCACCAAGAATTTTATCGAGGGACAATTGACCGCGAGGGACGGTCGGAAAGCAAGACACACACGCTCGTCCTGGAAGTCAGGACATTCAACAAGAATGTGCACGACCGTAAGAGGAACAATGCAATTTGGAAAATAAGGAGCAGGGCGGCGCTCCATTAAGTGACTGTGAGTTAAACGTGTATGGCCAATACATAACCTAGCCAGAGCCGTTTCCCACCATCGGTTACGGTGGTAGGAGGACGGCCACAGGGACACACAACTCTTAAGAGTACGCAGTTTGTTACCAGTAATATACCAGTCGTACGTATAACGGTTCACCAGTAGATTTTAACCCCAACCTATTCTAATAACTATGTCTTACTCAACCCAACCCAATCTAACCATTTATAGGGTCATACAGGGGCCACATGTTCAGTAGCCTGCACTGGCAAATTTTGGGTGAATTATGAGGATATCGTCAAGAACGCGAGAGTGAATAAAGTAATTGCAAAGCTCTAACGGTACCTCATGCCAATGAGTCTGAATGGTCTGATTAACTGGGCATTCGGTGATGTAGTGTGGGAGATCATGCGCAGTTCCTGCTCACAGAGATTGCACTTGGAGTGCTCAAGATTGGGAAACCCGTCACCTGTAGCCACCTGCCACAGGTAACAATTGCCTAACCTGATCCTGGGAACCACTGTGTCGCACAGTCTGGTGGACGTTTTGTGCTGCCCATAAACATAGGTTTCAGATCTAAACAAATCATAGCTTTTTATACTGGTGCTTACAAGATGGGTATGGGGTGCATAATAAATGAACTAGACTAAACTGCTTTCAGGTCGTTGGAAGTCAGTAATTTTTCTTCTATCAGACCTGAGTGTTTGGTACAATATAGTTTCGACAGCAGAGATGGGGATACCTAGGTCTAATTCAACTTCATCTTTGTTACATGCTAATTTGGCTGCAATGTCTGTGTCATTATGGATTATATTTATGTGATGTATCCATACAAAGTTTTTTTTTGTCAAAGCTAATCTTGCATTACCTATATGACGAACAACATAGCGAGATCTCTTGGGCACCAAGCTTGTGCCTCTTAGCGACTCAGATTTTCCATGAACGTCCAATCCAGCGATGGCTATCATTGCCGTCTAGTGCTATCAGTCTAAAATTGATTTCAATATATATAACTCGTATCTCTTACTAATGTAAACTGCTTGTGGTAGAATCCGGAAGATATGTTGGCCATTGTTCAGGAAACACGTTATTAAGCTTTAATGCAAAATAATTAAAAGTAAAGCTCGCATATACGAATACTTTATTTGTTAAAGATATGAATATATATTCCTCATCATAAACGTTTGTCTTAAATACTATGGATAATGTATTGAAGTATTACCAACATTGTAGAACGAGATCTTGTTTTCTAATTTGTTCTTTCTAATTGTTTCTTTATATATTAGGATAATTTAAACAAAATACGTATTTGCAGGCTGCTTTCTTCATTTTGGTGATGGGCTTTGCAATATCAGCGATGGTGTTTGGAGGGGAGATTATAGCCAGCAGGTTACAGCAGAACAAAACCACAACACCCATTGAAAAGGTATACATACAGTGCTATGGTTAGTGTGAACAGCTTTATGATTTATGTGATTTGCCAAACAGTTTCGACGATAGGAAGCCTGTGGCATATGAGTGATCAACTGTTTTCAAAATTGTTCAGGTCTGTTTTAAAATTTATCACTGTTCTTGTTTAAGTGACTTCAGCAGACAGGCTGATTTATAAGATTACTGTCCCGAAAAGAATATTTTCTGTCGCTTATTATCCATGATAATTTAGCAAACTACGTTTGGTCTTCTAAAAGTGTAAAATTAAACCAACCATCCGCTTAAAATGATAATACTTATAGTAACTATTTAGTCAAATGTATACAAATGTACGATTGTTCCCACAAAAAATTCACGTTTTGTACTATATTAATTTTGTAAGAGGGCACAAAAAATAATCCAAAACCCAAACTTAAACATTCCTAGACCTAATATAACACATATGTGTACTATATTAGGCTTAGAATTGCTTGGAGAGATTAAGTTTGGTTCTTTAGTAACATTTCCAATTTTTTAGTATGTTATTTGAACTGATTCAGTAATACAAAAAATTCACTTTTGGGGGGCCAACAGTAAAGTTTTGTACGTTTGACCAATATGTAGTTGATATAAGTATTATCATATCTAGGTTTAGGAGGAAAGCTGAATTTATTTTATTTATATATATACATAAAAGTACATTGGGTTTATGAGAGTACATCATCAAAATCATTGATGATTTTTGCATTCTTGTAAAGTCACTAGCACGCATAGCGTTTCAGGCAGAATAAAGAATTAAACAGTTTCATAATGAAACTTAGTATCGTAATTATATATGTATAATGCAACCGTCTTCTCCTTCCCCCATCTCACACACACTCTCTCATATTATATCAACTTCAAACTACATATGTTTGTTCAACTTGTACAAAAATTAGTTCCTCAATTGAATATTATTGCAGATTGAGTCCCGGAGCGGATGGCATCCTCCACACCTAAGAGCAGCCTACACAAACTCCTCCATTATCGACAAAATAGTCCCTGTCGTGCGAAAAAAATGATTTCATTGCATCTTGTTAATATTCACATAAGTTAGTGACAACCACATTTGCTTACGTTGTTTATAGACAACAAATCTCTTGTCTCCCAATATAGTGTGATCTTATAGCGCGATGAAGGTCATTAAGGTTTAATTTGATTCTAAATTTGCTGTCAAAAATTTGCCTTAGTCTTGATTCAATTGCATTTTTTTTGGTATGAAGAAACATATATTTAATGTTAATTTTATAGAAAGTTTCTGTATAAATTATTATTACAATTATTAGAATAAACAGTCAAAGGAGTAACTACAACTTGCAAAGATTTTTAGCATATTGAGCCGTAAGACAGCTTTCTTCAAGTTGAATCATATAATGTAAATATTAATATTCTTGTTATATTAGTTTAATAATATTAAATAAAAAAATACTTGTTTAAATAATATTGAATGAAATTGATGTTAGTGTTGTGGATGGTTGCGATGTATAGTGAGTCACATTAATGGTGAATGTTGTGATATGTAGCACGACACTTGTGGTGGATGGTTGCAACATATAGCCAGTCACTTGTGTGGTGGATGGTAGCAACCTATAGCCAGTCACTTGTGTGGTGGATGGTAGCAACCTATAGCCAGTCACTTGTGTGGTGGATGGATGGATGTTTGGTAGAGAGTCACGTGTGCGGTGGATGATTGTGATATGTAGTGAGGCATTTGTGTGATAAATGTTATTATATTTATTTATTTATTTTACTTATTTATTTATTTATTTATTTATTTATTTATTTATTTATTTATTTTTATTTATTTATTTATATACAAGAAGGTACATTAGGCTTTATCTTTGACCGTGTGAGAATTTAGCTGTCAAGAGATGAATCTAAACTGATGTATTACATGAAATGGCACACCACTCTATTTTTAATAATAAAATACCTGAAAATACTTTAATTAATGTAATTAATTAATCAAATAAATAAATTGTAATTAATGTAAAATTGTAAAGAAATTAAAATCAATGTAAATCATAGCCAAATCTCTATCACTACGTGCAAACTGGATTTAATTTGTTGCAACTATATTAAGAAGCAATATACATGCTCCATAATGTCAGGTTCATGACAGATAATGAAATGTCTGTTAATTCAACATAACCTATCTCTAAGTGTTCCACTTTCCAAGACGTTCTACACTAATTCTAGGTTCACTAACTACAATTGCCAAGTGTACACCAATTACAATTAATACCTCTTTCCAACCTGCTAGATGTTGTTCAGTTTGGCCAAGTTGAGAAGTTTATAATATAAGCCGTTGCATGCAAATCGAAATCAGTCTAACTAGGACGTTTGAAAAATACTGCAGATCTTCAGAATTATTGACATTCACCAGCAACAATGTAACACTCGACAAGTTCTTCCTCTCAAGAGTATCTTCTTAGTATCTTGAGTATCTTGAGATGATTTCGGGGCTTAGCGTTCCCGCGGCCCGGCCCTCGACCAGGCCTCATTTTTGTTACACATTCCCAGGAAGCAGCCCGTAGCAGTTGTCTAACTCCCAAGTATCTATTTACTGCTAGGTAACAAGGGGCATCAATGAAAGAAACATTTTGCCTATTTGTCTCCGCCTCTACCTGGGATCGAACCCGGAACCTCAGGACTACGAATCCGAAGCGCTGTTCACCCAGCAGTCAGGCGCCAAGACGCTACAGCGTTTCCACAAATTTCGACCACATCGAGCTTGCACGCTCTCGTCCCACATTCGAGCTCTTAGACCCCGCCTGCATTCAGGCGGGGTCTAAGTAACTACCTACTAACTACCTAAGTAACTACCATAACTACCACACTACACACTCACACCACATCCGAGCTCTCTACCCTCAGCCTCACTCAAGCTCTCTGCCCTGCTCCAGGCTTCATCTCAACTACTATACCACACTTCACTTCATTGGCAACAAACTGACTGCTGTAACCAAGACTATACTAAATAAATATAAAAAACACTATAGTCTTTGAGTCTTATCACCCAAATATATATACGTAAACTTACGTTAAAAATCTATTATTCTGCAACATCCTGAGAATGAAGAGGAGGGGCTGCAGTTGTGTGTACAGCGTTTTTCATTCATAAGCGAAGTTTTGTCGGCGGGATGGAATGAACATATATAGGCTATTGTTGATGAGGACGGGCTACATTTAGTGATTCAAACTAGAAGTGAGCAAACCACTGTTTGGTGAAATTTTAGAACATGAGTTGTGATTTGGGAAATTTGTTTCCCAATCATAAATATTAATCATAAATATTAATTTATGTTTAAAATGTTTCTGTTAAAATGGTTAATGTTTAAAGGTTGGGCTGGCTAGCTAACTACTTTTATTTATTTATTAGTATACAGAAGAAGGTACAATGGGTTTAAGAGTAAATAACATATCGAGGTGTATATAATATCACTAACACGAATAGCATCTCACGTCTTCGACACATTCAGGCATTTATTTATTTATTTATATACAAGAAGTTACATTGGGTTTGTGAGAATACATAGCATGGTAATTTACAATCTTGTAAAGACACTAGTACGCGCAGCGTTTCGGGCAGGTCAGTCTCAAACGTTTCAAATTATAACTTCGCAAACTCTTCATTTTATTCGAAATCGTGCCCCGAACTCAAACATGCTCTTACTAATTCATTTTACACCCCGGCCTCATAAACAGCGGTTAAATCCGCCAGTATTCTACGCCCTCGGTTCACAGCCAAGGGTTCGAAGTTCGATTAATTTTCACGGTAGCAAAGATGGTTGGACACGATTCCTTTCACCTTATACCTCTATTTATCTGGCAGCATATAGGGGTAGGTGGCCTCCTAAGAAGTTAGTTAGCCTGGGGGTTACATCTATAAGTCTTTGTCTAACAACGGGAAAAACCCACACACTAACTTTAATATATTTAAGCCTCCCCAAGTATCGTTATTTAAAGAAAATGAAATGGCTACTCCGTGCCACAAGCGAGGGTCTATCGCTACCACAACAACATCCCTCGCCACGGAGAAAATGGTTTAGTGAGAGGCAGCCGTCAGGAAAAAAAACCTTCATGCAAACTACACGTACCATAACGAAGTATTGAGAGGTAACACAAACGTCTACCTTCGCCGTGTCTCCAGGAGACGTCCCTGACAGGATAAAAAAATAAATAAAATAACTTGCAAGCATTGGAAAAAGATAATCCTAACTCAACCTGCAGATATCTTGGAGGCGAGTGTGCGCCAGTAGCCCAAGGTATGTACAGTAGGGGACGGGGTAAAGTTAAATCATACACAGTGCACTAAATTTGTGTTCTTATTGTTAAAACTATAAGCAGTATATGGTTAGGCTAGGTAGACTTTAAAATCTACCTAGCCTAACCTTCGACACTGTTCACTGCAGGGTGAACAGAGGCATTAATCTTAAGGAAGAATATTATGGTTCAGGGGAACAACTGAGATGCCAGTCAGACATTGAATTCAGCTCTCACTTTTACATTTTTATTTTGCTTTAAAGAAAGTAACATGGTACAGCAATATTTAATATGAAATTTTTAAGACATAATATATAATGAATGTGATGTAAAATGATACCTGTATTTTTGCTTTAGGTAATGGCTGATGAGATACTCCAAAACAGCCATGTGAATGAAGGTATCATCACCTTGGTTGCTGAAGGACGTCAGTTTGTTAGTCACAAGTCCAAGCTTATAGAATCGAGTGACTACTTCAGGGCTATGTTTTCCAGCAACTTTACTGAACATGAAAAGAACACCATAGAACTTCAGGTACATTAATTACAGTAAACATCAGCAATAATTATGTTTTATTGTGATATCTTAATTAAGGCTGTGTTTTTGTTAGTTCTTACCTCTGGCTGAAGGTTGGGAGCGTCAAGCCCTTCTTCGAAGGTGGGGGTAGGTTCTGGTCTTTTGGCTCTGGTGGGTGGTTTGTTCATTTGCAACCTCCTTCTTCTTTTCTGGTGAGGAATGAGTCGGCAGGATTCTGGAGGGTTTCTTCGGTGAGTGATGCTTGGTTGGTTCAGCCGTGGGTGCATAATTTATTGTCATGTGGAGGCTCTTCACCACTATCTGTGGGTCTCAATTAATGTCTTGTTGACATTAATTAATTAATGTTTCCTTGGTCCCCTATTCCGAGGTTTGCATTTCCCAGTTTGTCATCAGTGTCATTAAATCTAGCCAGCCTGTGGTTTATCTTCAAGTTCATTATGTTAACAAATACAGTATGTGGGTTTCACCATGGTCTTGAGCTAATATTTTTTTACATTCTAACTGGGTTCTGGCAGCCGGGTATTTAGTCAATGCTCCTAGTCCCATCAGTCACATGTTGCTTTGGGCTGTGTCTCCTGGCCTGGTTTCTCTTCCTTGTCCTAGTGCCTGCATCCTCTACTCTCATCCTCGCCTGCCATTCTCCTCCTCCTCTCTCATTAGTCCCATTTTTGTCCTTTGTGGTTAATTAGCCTCATCCAACCACTGCAGAGCTTCCTCAGAAACCCAGCATTTCATTATAGTCATGAAATGGAATGCCTTTTTTCTGGTAGATCCCCAGTGGTTCCTGAATTCCTCCCTTCCCTCCAGGTTCATCGGTTCACTTGTGGGTTGTTCATCGGCTCCAGAACTGGCTGGTCAGTGCAGTCAGATATGTGCTGGATCTGGCTGGTAGTGGCGATCTGTACTAATGAGTTTCGAGCTAATTTGAGTGAATCCCATTTTTTGTGTGAAGTGTTTCTGGAAGAGTGGCTTTCTGGAGACACTCCTCCAGGAAGAGGCATTTCATTACATGCAACGCTGTTTTATTTTTTAACAATCTGCCCAAGTATTGTATTGTCATATTTGGTCTTTCTTTCTTAAGGTTACTTCTTTCACCCTTAACAGTGATAGGATTAACCAAGTACTGTAATAGATGGCTTGATTTTTACATGAGGGCTCAAAGAACACATCTCTATGTAGAACTAAAAGTATACTGTATTTTACTTACTTGACATATACTGTAATGTTACAATGTCTATTTTAACTTTAATGATGTCGATGTACCATTTATTATTTTCTGAGGGTTATTTTTCTTCATTCAGTGAAGTTATACTTGCAGAGTGTTATGAAAATATGTACTAAAATGTTTATAACAATTTTGAGTGAATAATGTATATATATAATGCACTTAATACATCAAGTAGAAAGTGTTTAAAATACATAAACATATACCATACTTCTAGGGTATAGATGCTGACTGTTTGCTGCTGCTGCTCCAGTATGTAGAATGTGGAAGCTACATTATTCCATCTGATAACATTCTTATGCTGCTTCAGACTGCAGCTATGCTTCAAGTAAGCTGCACCTCATGCATTGTGTGTTCAAGGCTTTAAGCTCTTTCTTTGTTTAAATAAATAGTTACTGAGAAATTTAGTTTTTCCTTTAGTGTGTTGTTTTGTGTAGTACAGTACAAATAACCTAATTAGTATCCAAACTAGGAATACCTAATACTTTTTTGTGACACAAGTAGAATGATTAGTATCCCAAGTAGGAATAATTTAGTTTCATAGGGCACAAGTAAAAGAATTAGTACTGTACTGTACAGTGTGATCCCATTTACCTGTGACCATTTACTAATTAACCATCGACAAAAGAATTTCTTACTTCAATTCAATTTACTGGTTTTAAACTGGCAAATTGAATTACAGTATGCACCAACTGCTTCCCAATTAACTGGATCATCTTTGGGTCCTGCCTTCTGGCTGCTTGTCTAATTACCTAAGTGTAGTTACATAATGAGAGATATGCTTGTGATGTCCCATCTAACAGTGTCTTAATGCTTGTCTGGTTGTCTGACTGCATCTGTTTACATATCTAAAAAAAGAAATATTTGCTCCCTTTCCTGAAATGGCTAAACTTTTGGTCTGATAATATTCATTAACATTCTCTAAGCCTTAGTTGAGTAAGATGGTAGAAGTGATGTTAATTCACCAATCCTGGAGTATGCAGCTTCAGCCTGGAGTCCATACCTAGATAAACACAAGACGAAGTTAGAGAAGATTCAGAGGTATGCCACCAGACTGGTCTCGGAACTGAGAGGAATGAGTTATGATGAAAGGCTAAGGGAGCTGAACCTCACAACCCTGAAAAACAGAAGAGTAAGGGGAGACATGATAACCACCTACAAAATTCTCAGGGGAATTGACAGGGTGGACAAAGACAAACTCTTTAGCACATGTGGAACACGAACAAGGGGACACAGGTGGAAACTTAGTACCCAGATGAGCCACAGAGATGTTAGAAAGAATTTTTTCAGTGTCAGGGTAGTTAACAAATGGAATGCATTAAGTAGTGTTGTGGTGGAGGCAGACTCCATACACAGTTTCAAATGTAGATATGAAAGAGCCCAATAGGCTCGACGACTGGGCCGCGGGGACGCTAAGCCCCGGAAGCACCTCAAGGTAACCTCAAGGTAGGCTCAGGAATCTGTACACCAGTTGATTGACAGTTGAGAGGCGGAACCAAAGAGCCAGAGCTCAACCCCCGCAAACACAACCAGGTGAGTACATATTGTTCACGAGTCAGATTGAATCCTAGAGCTTAACAAAAATGCCAATAACTTATTCTTGTATGAAGTCTTATATTATTTTTTTGATGTGCATAAAATGAGACTATGAAGACTACATTGCTTTGTAAGAATAATGGGAATAGTAGATTTAATGTTGATATTGTAATTATGTAATCACAAATTTTGTTTCCCCTCAGTTTATCAGCGTGCAGAGTGCATGTGAGCAAGAAATCTTAGCTTCTCTCTCATGTGACACCTGCCTAGAAGTATATTATGTTACATCTTCATTGGGCCTTACTCAAATAGCAACAGCAGCTCTAACAATTTCAGTTTGGAATTTCTCGGAAATCAGAAACAAGCCCCAGTTTTTCCAACTCTCTCTCTGTGGTATGTATTCCATTAAATTTGTTAACTTAATGTAGTTTAGTGGCACAAGTATGGTAAACTCTCACATATCCTTAAGGTTACATCATTTGAATTATTAAAGTAATTAGCAAAGACCTCACAGGAAATACTATGGGCTGACCACCTCATTAACTTCAAGTAGCTTTTGAAAAATTGGCCAGAAAAGGGAAGTTTCTGTACATTAAATGCTTTATATTTCTAGTTCCAGAATATATAACAAAAAGGGCAAATTGACAAGTGTGTATTTACAGTATGTAATTGATTACATCAATATTGCACAGTAATATAGCAGTTAAATATTGTGTTACTAATATTGCAGTATTAAAATACATTATACAGTGGCACCTCCAAAATTATGCATCATATTCTTCCAGATCTGGTTTGCATTCACAAATACAGTAATTCAGTTTTCCTAATAATGACCAATTTTTGCATATTTATCACCAAATTTTCTGATTTTTTTTTGTGTAACAATGACACAATACAGAACATATTTCTGTACATTTGAACACAAATAATACATATACTTACTCATCAAAATATGAAACATTAATTTCTTCGAGAGACCCCTTAGTAGCTCCCTGAGTTTAATTCTGGTTCTACGAAGCCTTGGCTCAACTTGAGGTTGCAGCCAGTCTGCCACACTTCACTCTTCCACCTGCTCACACTGGCCCAAAGCTGTAGCCTCTGCCCACCCCTTTGTCTACTGTTCGTTTTTCCTGGAGCATTAGTTCTGTTGGAGATGGGGGGGGGGACAGTACTAAGCGTTACAATGGTTGAGAGAACATACGTTATAATGATACTCTGCTGAGCTGAAGATGAACCACATCCTGTTGAAGTTTTATCTTCACATCCTATGTTCAGAATAAGGGCCAAACATCATGAGTGGTTTGCTAGAGAGTTCCAAGCCATTCATTGTTAGTTCTATGTACCAGATTCATTCTATGTTCAGAGATTCATCATAAGGACATAATAATAAAGGAAGCTGTAGAAGGCTTTTTTTAGCCCGATTCAAGACAGCTCCTATTTATATTACATGGTAATTTGTTCCATAAATAAACATTGCAAATCAGTATTTGAGGTCAATCACACCTTCCACTTTTGAACTCTAACCTTCAGGTTGAACTTGATTCTGAGAACCTTCTCCAGACTTGCAAATTCTGAAGTGGTTATTCGAGAGCTTCAGCTCAAGGTCAATGTGTTAACCAGCTTTGACAACCAATTAATATAGGCCTCCCTGGTAATTAGCTTTGTCTACTGGCCAGAAATGTTGTAATAAGAGTAGAACCTTTTTCGCCATTCTTGTGAACGAGCCAGTCTCTTCTCACTCCTATTTCGGCATCTTGCATGATAGGGTCTAGTCTTGGACACCACAGCAGCTTCTATTTCCTTCAGAGTTGGCTTTGGGACAGCTTACTTTTGATCCTTGCCTAGTTTTTGGGCAGTGCTGCCTTCCCACTAGTGTAGAACATCTAAATGCCATGACTGTGATGCTGTCCAGGGGCCTAGTAAAATCTTTTCTGAGAGCCACTTAATGGTATAGCTTAGAAATGTACCGTGCACTGGAAATGTTATGCCCACCATATTTTTCAGGTACTTGGGCTAGACAGTAGAGTAACAGCCTCGCTTCATGCAGGTAGGCGTTCAGTCCCCGACTGTCCAAGTGGTTGGGTGCCATTCCTCTCTCCTGTCCCATTCCAAATCCTTATCCTGACCTCTTCCATGTGCTCTACTGTATAATCATAATGGTTTGACACTTTCTCCTGATAATTCCCTTCCCTTGCCTGTTATATTGAAATATGAAAGTAAATATTGGTGTATATTTTCAGAGTTGATAGAGTATGTAAGCAACCCAAGCCTGTACCATGGACCAGGTGGAGAATGGACAGTTTGGGAGGCACTTCTTAGCTGGATTCAGGTGAGAATTATGTTGATAAATTACAATGAATGTTGATCTCTAATACAGTACTGTATATAATTAATATTATTTGAGAATAAATGTTAAATTCAGTCTGTTTTATTTATTAAATGTACTGTACAGTATATACAAGATGTGACCAATGAGTTAAAATTCAAGATATTGTATTTAATTTCATTGAAAACTAAATGATGCAAATGTGAAAAAACTTGTGCAGCATATTTCTGCTATTGCAAGACTCATTGCTTCAAAGGGCGTTTCATAATCTACTATTATGTAGTATGGCTACATTATCTTTTAAAATTGCAGCAACTTTAAAAAAAACTGTACTCTTAAATGGCATCACCATTTTACAAAACATACACAGTACTTTACTGTATTTTGTTCATCATTTTTTTTATAAATTGGACAAAGATCTTCTCTTCTTTTTTCAGGTGTTATATATCTCTCATTGCATTCTTAAATCACTTATTATATTAAAGTAATATTCTTTTTATTACTTGAATTACAGTATTTGTATTTTGTGATATTATTTTCATCTGCCTAAGGCTTTTTCTGTGGGGAGCCCCTCCGGCTGCCTTGAGTTATCGGACTGATATACGATGTATTAGTCTGTGGCATCAGTCAATTGGAGTTCTGCCTACCGGAGACTACAACCTAGAACCTGCCCCCCCCCCCATCCTCAGAGAGAGACAGGGAGCAATGGCCTATAGTAACCCCCCCGCCCCATGTGTTTGGGAACATTCCATGTCTGCCATCAACCGGGGTTAGGCACCCAGAAAGGTAGTCATAACAAACCAAACCCCCACCTAGTAAGAAATTGCAACTGAAACCTGAACAGAGACAGAACTGCTAAATAAATATAAGGAAACAAACAAACGTTATTTACTGCTCCGCTTGTCCATGCAGCCCTCCCCTCCCCTCTCCGAGAGGGGGAGGGGGGGGTGCCCCGGACCCCTGTGCCAGCTACTCCACCCCAGTTCATAGGCTGATGCACTCTGGGGTGGTCATCAACTCTGGCCTCGATTTCTTGGCAGAATTTGTTCCTCTGTGGTGTTTCCTGCTCTTTGTGGTGTGGTGGCCAGGAGTAACTTCAGTGTACTAGGGATGCATGCACTTAGGACTGCCTTCCCTAAATGCCTTGTAAGTACTACCCTTGGGTTCTAGGTTTACCTTCCTTAGAGCATTCGGGACTCCACTTCTGTAGGGATTCTTGCTGCTTGGCATTTACCCTGCCCTTGGGCCAGCTGCCCCCATGTTCCTGTTCCTTCTGGTGGCATTGTGCTTTTGCGGGGTTTTTCTTTTATTTTTGTTTTCCTTGCCTGAAGGGGGTGGTTCCTGGTAGGCAGAACTCCAGTTGACTGATGCCACAGAGTAATATAACGTATATCAGTCCGATAGCTCCGAAGAATCTGGGCTCACCCAGAAAATGGTGTTTCATTACATTCAATGCTGGTTGTTTTTAACAAGTTAAATTTGTACTAAACTGTACAGCAATTTGATAAGCATCATAAATGAATACATGTAGTAAATAAATAATAAATAAGTAAATAAAATTGGTTACAAATCAACAGGTGAATGAGGCTGAGAGAAGTGGCCATCTCCTTCAGCTGTTCCAGTGTGTGGACTTCCACTCCTTGACAATAGATGACATATCTAATATGCTTTTCTACAATATTGTAAGTGACAACAATGAAGCTGTGCAAGTGTTAGAAACTATCAAAAAGTTTAAAATGAGCCAGTTAAATCAAATTTCTGATCAAAGTGCAGATGGCAAACTTATGGAACAAGAAATGGATGATTGCTTAGATGAACTTGGAAGATTAAAGAAATGTGACTCTGACATAAATAATGTACAGATTGAAACGGACAGTGAGCAACAAAATGTACAAGTCATTGTTAAGAGAATATTGAAGCGAGCCAGAAGGAAGTTGAGCCAAGTTCCATGTGTTGTGGGGTTTAAGCGATCACAGTCATCACATAGGAAGATAAAAGCTAAAAATAGTGATGACGAAGATGAAGCCCATCTTTGGTCTTCCCGAATTAGAAACTTAGAGATGTTACCAGTTGTATATTCATTTAATCCAGTCACTAAGAAAATGGCAGAAGAAATAGCTTTAACCAAACTTTGTGATGGGCCAGTCCAGTGCTCTGGATATCAAGTCTGCTCTGTAGGTAAGTACTTTAGTTCTTGGTGAAAAGAAATTAAAATTGAAAATATAATTTTGTATAGTAATCTTGGGTTGCATATATATATATAAATTATTTTTGTTTACAAAAATAATGCTTCAAGTACTGTATAGTTAAAAGTTTCTTTCTGAGTAGTTCACTCAGTTTCTCCCATAAGCAATGTCCTCCTTTCACAAGGACATGACTAAACATAAGCCAGACCAGGGCAACAGTCACTCTGTCACACTGGGGATCTTTTCAAATGGCTATCAACTCTACTAGAGTTGACAAACATCACTGAGTTCGTAACGATTGCCTTTTTTTTTCATTATTATTATAGGTATTGTCTGCATGGTTACCTGCGTTAGCTGGATATTTGAGTTAGCCGAGACCCTCAACTTTCATTGCTAGAGGTGTTCACAGATGCATCAGACCTTGGTTTGTATTTCGTCTCCAGTTCTCACTTTATGCTGTTCAGTAGGCTGGCACTATTTTGGATAAACAGTTTCCTATCTTTGTGCTTCCTACAGCATGAGTCAAGGCCATCTGGATGGCACTTAATCACATGGGTCTCCTGTAGGGTTTCATTCTGTCATTAGGACTGCTCCTAGTGGTCCATTGTCTCAACTAGAAAGGTTCAGTGCTTCCCCTTCCCCTGTGGGAGTGGAATCTGGGAATAACTTTGCTTCAGGCTTTTCATAGTTTAGTCCTTGGTGCAGATCGCATTTGGGAGTGTCAAACACTCTTGAAGATGGCCTCTCCTGCTTCCATATGATTTGGAACGTAATGGGTGATGCCTCCTCCTGGCTTTGTGAGACTTTTAGCGTTTTGCAGGTTTATGGCTCCAGGAGTGACCTAAGCTCCCACCTGGTGGTGAAGGGAGTTGTTGGGGTTGCTTCTGTGGTAATTTTCAGTTTTGTTTTGGTAGTTTGATACTTTTGAAATTTCTGACAACTGCACAAGGAAAGAAATAATTATTCATGTCATAGCATATTTTAAGGTTTGATTACATTATTGTATTTTCAATTAAGTTTTCTGATATAGCTGTGTTGGAATATAAGGACTTTATTTTAAATATTGTATGTGCAATTTTACTTGAAATGTGAAATTGAATGGAGCTTAAAATGAAATGTACATTCATGCTGTGTGAATATAAAAAAAACAAAAATTATTGAATACATAAATCCAAATTTCAACTTCAGGGCTTTCTTATTGACACATTAGTGGTAAACTGCATACACTAAGCTGCTTCTATATTCATTTATTTCCATTGATATTAAATGCAATATCTTTGCAGGACCATTTATATACATTATTGGAGGTGAATATCAGCTAGGCCATGGGAACTGGAATAAATCTTTGCTGAGGTATAGCACTATTTCAAAGAAGTGGATTGTTGAATACTCGTAAGTATGCTTATTTTAACCCTACTATACTAGCTTGAACTAATGAGTATAAGTTGTGGAATTTTCTCTAACCTGTATGCTTTGATTGTGAGATTTTATTGCCTGTATTAAGTGTTTTATGCAGGATTGTAATCTCAATAGTATTTTTTGTATACAACACTTGGACCCCTACTGTAAGAAGCATTAAGATGGGTAACTTTGTTTCTCCAGAATAATGCCAGAATGTTGAACAGTATAAAGTGTGTGTGTGTCAGATTGTTGAGTAAACTTGAAATACACCTTTATAAGCAATGCCAGTAGGTTGCTCTATAAGGTAAAATCAAGTGTGTGTTCTCTGAATAAGTATCTTGACAGTTAAGCAAGTGACATTCTTAGCACTTAGCACAGCATTTCAAAAGGTCTCAGCCGAGCTACTGAAGACACTTAGGTGGGATCACTGAAGGTACTTAGGTGGGATCACTGGTGTCAAGTTCAATTCAGCCCGAAGCAACTGACAGAGGTGCATTCCATGATAACTTGAAGCCATGTAATAGTTCATGTGTAAAATGGGACTCATGAATGAGGTCTCAACCTAGCAACCCATTATCTGACTAGCAACCTAATACCCTCAGTCACTACCAGATGACAGTACCATCACCACAACATGGTCCTCAGGCCTCTAACTCATAATATTTTATCTGAATACCCCACAAATGTTACAAATATAGGAAAGAGAAACAAAATGGACAGAAAACAACTGAATGGCACTGCAGTACTTATAATTAGGCATTTCATATTTATTTAATTTCGTGTTTCTGTTAAAAAAAAATTAAAGAAGTTATTTCAGTAATTGAGCGGCACTATGTAGTTTTGTGTGAGAGGAGAACACGTGGGTGAGCAAGTTTACAGGGTTGTGTTGAGCCAGGTTCACTCTGGGCATGATGTGTGAGCTGCCAGGTGAAAGAAAATTCCCCTATTTTAGCAGAGAATTACACTATACAGTTTATACATGCTGGTTTAGCAGTCAGTAGTAAGTTTCTAATATTATATGTTACAGTATTAATGTACTGTATTTTGTAATGTGATTTTTATTATAAATAAAGACCACTGTATGTTGTTCAGAATCCCAACAGCAGAACAGTAAGTTCTCTGTCAAACAAAACACTCAGTTTTGGCTGAATTATCCAGAGATCCAGGCTACTTAAGTTTGAATTTGTGAGCCTTTACTGTATAGTGTATTTCATGTATAATATTTGAGTATTCCCAGCCATGATATATTGTGTTTTGTCCTAGGTTGCCCCAGCCTCGAAGACATTATATGGTCTGTGTTGTAGACTCGATCATCTACCTCCTCGGAGGATTAGGTCGCCACCGTGTTATACAGAGCTCTGTAGATGCTTATGACACCAACTCAGGTGAGTACAAAAGAAATTCTTGTAATGTAGCAAAATATTTAATACAGCACTAACAAAAATATTGCAAAGTTTTACCTACAGTATTTGTTTAATTTATGATAAATTCTGAGTAGGTTCGATAAAATTTTGCTTCTTATTACTGTACATGTAAGTACAGTATACTAATGACTTAAAGTATTAACTTTAAGAAAAAATGATGAAAACATTAATGTTGAGACATATAATTAGTGTGTCAGGTATAAACGGCTAAGAGGCAGGGCATGAAGAGCTAGATCTCATGCCCATGTAATCACTGAAGGGTAAGCATTGATAGGTAAACAGAATACATTTTTGTGAGTTATTCCCTCCAAGTGCTATATAGGCTTATCACTTTCTCCTGATAATTACCTTACAGCCCCTTGGTCACTGATAGGTAAGCAGAGTCCAATGCTTACCTATCTGTGACATAGGATAGAGGAGCTCTAGCTCTCCCACCTCCTAGCCATTTATACCTGATGTGCTTATTATCTTTCTCACCATTAACGCTTTCATCATATTTTTTCTTAGCTGTGACTGGAATTAGCTTCAACAACCTATTCCTTCAATGCATTCTACTCTTAAGCATCGCTGAGCTGGACCCACCAAGCCTACTATGTTTAAGTTCGGGATTGCGCAGAGAGGAGAAAAATCGATAATAAATACAATTTTGTTTATGTATCTGTTCACTAGAAAATTAATTTGCAAATATTTTGACACCAAATTTATAGTTCTAATCCAACAAATGACTTGGAAAATGTAAAATAATTATAAAAAAATTTGCATTGTTCGGCGGTCTGAGAGTTGTCCCAGGGAAGAGGGAACGATTATGATTTGGAACACACAATGAGGCTAGACTGCCAAAGTGTTAACATAAGAAGGAAAAAAGTTTTGGATTTTTTTTCTACCTGCACTCCAGGGCATTTTGTGTGAATGTATGTAGCCCAAGGGTTAATGGAGGATTGTAAAAAACCTACCACTCTCTTCATGGTCTTTCTCTCCTCAAAGCTTCAGTGTTATTGTATCAGTAAGACTACTGATACAATAGTTCTTTTATTGTATCAGCAGCCCTACTGATACAATAGGTTCTTCTCCGGCCCCACACCACGGCGGTCTCAAGGTTTGGAGTCCCTGTGCCTTCTTTCACTAACTTCGAGGTCAGCTCCAGAGCTCACAGTTCCTGCGACAGCACTGGAACCAATCGTATTGGCGTTTGCCTTTCCATTGGTGACTTTCGGCACCGTGGAAAGGGGGGACCTGCTGCTTGAGTAACAGCCTCTCCTCTGTATCAACCTACCCTGACTTTGCGCCCTGGAGAGGCCACTCCAGACTGACAACCATATCACAACTCCATAGTCTCTTGAGACTGATGGATGCCTACTACTAGGGCTACTCCTCCCACTCTTCCTTGTTTACCCTTTCTATTCTCACTAGCTAGTATCCTCTTAGGAATACTGTAGTTTCAAAGCGTTATACGACAAAGAGTACTGGGAAGATGGGGCACCATGAACATATCTCTCATCTTGTAACTACACTTAGGTAATTACAATATATTTCACTGGATGACCTTTTATGTGGGGTAACCCTCATTAATATTTTGTCTTAAGGGAAGGTGTTCTGCTTTTCCTTAGGCTGGTTAGTGTGAAAGATATAATTAATGAATTAACGATTTTTTAAATATCTTTGACCATCTTTCCTTCCAGTGCTTTATTATTTTACCTCAGACTGTTGCCTCCTCATGCAGTGGAAATAATGCAGCAGGTAATGATGATGGAAAATGTCTGTTTTCTACAGGAGAATGGATGACCTGTCCAGACATGCCTCATTGTGTTGGTCATGGTGCAGCTTGTGCATTTCAAGGAAGGCTCATGGTGTTTACACAAGAAATGCAGCTACTGACATACTATCCATCCAAAAAAAAATGGTCGGCCATTCCAGTGAGGTCTCCAAGTAAACAAGGCTATCGAGCAGCGCTAACATGGAAAAATTGTGTTTATTTAGTAGGTAAGTAAGGTACCATATTTGGTATTAAAAGAATATTTATTAAATAATTGTTGTATAGATATATATTTTGTAATTTTTTGGCATAATTCACATCAATTTTAAACTTTCAAATTTTCTGGGCTACAAAGTACAGTATTCTACATTTTTATAATTTGTTAACAAATTAAATTTTTCTTACTCAACCAGTGGGTGGTGCAGCTACCACCCGCCCTTGGGTGCCAAGGTGGTGGCTGCAGTTTATTCAGCTGCTTCTTTTCCTGTAGCTTCTGTTAATCACTCTGCAGCTCAGATGACTCTCGCCCTTATTTTTGTTGTGGTAGCCAATACATAGCTTAGGCAGCAACAAAGTGGAGCTCAGAAATCAATATTCTAGTGCATGTGAAAGTTTTTAGCAGTATTTACTGTACACTCGGTCACTTTCATTCCAGCATTGTACCTTAGCCTCAAGGCAAGATTGTTTCCTTGCCTTGGGGCCAAATAGGAAGCAATGAGACTGGGCTGGTGGTCTCTGTTTTGGTGTGAGTGCTTACCACTTGTGGTTGTCAGTAATGATCAATAGTCCATTTACTATATAGCAAGAGCACTGCTGGACACTGCTTGACAAAAGCTCTCTGCCTTTTGGATTATTGCTCATTAGGAATATGATGAAAATATTGTTCAATTAAATTGTCTTTTTATTTTTTCAGATAACTGCTCTACCCTAGTTTACAAATTTTCACCAGAAGAAGGAAGAACTATCACAAACTTTGGACGTTTTGTAACTCCACCAGTAAATGTCTGCATTGTAGATGGAAAAATGTATAGTTTTAGCCATGATGACCTAGATGACAGTCATGTTATAGAGGTTTTAGATATTACTGAGAAGCAAGGTGGTGCTGTACATACTTCTCTTCTTGAGAGTAAAGCAACTTCCAGACAGTCATATACTAGTCAAAGAGTAGGTGGGCAAACTGAGGCTGCTGTAGTAGCTGCTAAGGAGGTGTGGAGAGAGAAGGAAGCCGAGCCTCACATCTTTACAACTAAATGCCCTGCTGATGCTACATTTTCGCTGGGATGCTTTCCACTTTTGAAGCTAGGGTTATAAGGGAAATAATTCAGATAGAGCACTCAGTGTAAATTAATTTTTAAATGCATAGCTTCTTACAGTTCAATATTGTGTTGAATACAAAACACAAAGGGAGAGGGACACTTTTATTGAGACATATTAAATAAACTTAAGTTTGTATATTTGAAGTAAAAAATGCATGCACATTCATTGATTAATGAATAAATTGTGGGGACATTTAAATGTTTCATTTCATTTATATTCATAATTTTAATTTTATTTTACACCAGCAGAATCATTATATATGTGACAGTTATGTCCTTTACTTAGACAATACCTTGTGTGAGATCAGTGCCTTCTAAGGTATGCATGGTAGGCAGTTTCTTTGAAGCCGTGAGAGGGTGTTGAAACGGTTTATTTACAAGGCGGAACATCATGTATGTGCAGTACTCTCTACTGGATGGTAGTTATAAACAATTGATAATTATAAGATAAATTTGTATAAAAACTATTTGGAATGCAGTTATTTAAAGAAAATGCAACAGATATATGATTATTGCATTGTTTTGGGACCAAGTTAGAAATTTTTGCTAAACATTAGGGTTCATTTTGTTTTTTTCTTCACTTAATTGCAGCTTCAATTTTTTTAATTTTCTGCAAATAGACTCATTATACATGTCGCAGCTATTCTTATCACATGGACATATGAGTTCATGTACAGTACTGTGCTTACCAGGTTAGTTGTAGTACTCTCTTATCAAATGCTTCTGATATGGAATACAGTGGTCTGACTTGTGCATACAATTTGTGGTAGTCATCTGCTGCTGCAAACATCTCAGCTGTGCAGACGAGGAGTCACAATAACGTGGCTGAAATATGCTGGCTAAACCACACAATAGAAAGTGAAGAGATGACGACATTTCGGTCCATCCTGGACCTCAAGTCGATTGTGATGAGGGAAGGACGTGAAGGCAATTTATTGCCTTCACCTCCGTCCCTGAGTGAACATGGAAAATTCATTCATGAACATTCAAAGCCTCTCCATACTTTACTTAATATCAAAAGGGTCAGAAAATTGTGCTTTTGTAACCTGCCCCATTGCCCACTTGCTTGCTAATACAGTACTGTACAGGGAAGCACCCACAACAATCTTGAATTCATTGTCTTAAGCCTGATCACATTTCTTCCTGACTTATCCCTATAATGGTAGTTCAGACTCCAGACCAAATTCAGTTATGTGCCTTGTTTCCACACTTAAAATCCTACGGTTACAGTGCAGTGGGTAAATGCTCTGTACTTCCCAAGACAGTACATACATGTACATTTTGCCAGCTAGCCTTACTCTTTTCCTGGGTGTTAAGGGGCTTCAACCTGAGGCATTGAGAGGTTTCAAACTGATTCCCAGTCAGCCCTGCTTGGGCATTTGTTGAGAGTGATTGCTTCTATGAAGCATGCAAGTGTAAGGATACTGTGAGGAGTATTACTGCTTCCTACTTACCGATCAGTATTTACCTATAATTCTTTGCTAGCCTGGTTGTACCTGCTGCATTATAATTTAACTATCCAAATGTTCGAATTCCTTGTCAAATCTAGCTTTAAAGTTGTGAATGGTAGTGGCTTTTACAATTTCTTTCAGTGCAATCCACTTGTTGGATTGCACTGAATCCCTCATCAACTTTGCATCATTTGCAAACATTAACATGTATGAGCTCACTTCCTTGGGTAGATTGTTCACACAAATTAGGAACAGTTGTAGTCCAAGGACCAAGCCTTGTGAGACCGCCACTTGTTACATTCTTCCAAGTTGAAACCTCCTCTCTGACTGTGACTCTTTGCTTTCAGCCTTTCAGGTACTCGTTCACCCCAGTTATCCCAGTGTGCTTCTCCATCTTGTACACCAACCTTTCATGAGGAACTGTGTTAAACACTTTTTCACTATACTGTACTGTATTGGAAAACACAGTCTACCCCATCTTTCTTTTTTTCTGTCTTATTATAGTAACCCTGTCATAGAACTCAATCAAATTTGTCAGGGATGGTTTTTCTTTTCTAAATCCATGCTGCCTTTTCATTGCAAAGTTGGTCCTCTCCAGCTGCTCCACCATTCTCATCCTGATTACTTTCTCCAGCATTTTACTTATCAGTGACACTGGTCTGTAATTTATTCTTTTATTTTAATATTGGGACTAAATTTGCCTATTATCTTTAATTCTGGGAGATAGTAAATCTCAAGTTACTGTATTTATTGAACATATTAGCTAGTGGGTGACGAAGTACTTCTGATGCATCTTTCAGCAGCAGCAGTAGTAGTAGTGACATTGTCTGATCCCAATAATTTTGTCACATTAAGTTCATCCCGATGTTTATATATTTTTATTTTTTCTCTTCTACAATGACTACAATATCATATATTGTGTTTTTTTTAAAACATTGAAAAACATGCTTTTGCTGTACTTGGCTAACTAGACTTGAGGTGTGAGTTGAAAAATAAGTTGTGTACATCTGCCCCCATTTGAGTTTTCCATTGTCAGAGACATAAAGCCTATTAGGCTTATTAAGATGTCCCAAGCTAACAACTGGCCTTCTCTAAGATGCTCCTCATGATACTTTTTTGTAGCCAACTAACTCCTTGGTACAGTATCTATTTACTGCTAGGTAAATGGAGATATCAGGTGTAAAGAATCATACCCAAACATATCTCTGAATGGCATGCTAGCTTAGATGAATGAGGCACCATCACTAACTGTAAGTAAGAATATTAGTGTGTGTACAATTCTTATTGCTGTTCTGATTAGTGAATCTTGGGTCTCCAGCATAATTTACATGTCCCTAGATATTGTTTGTTGTGTCAGTGAAGTCTCTTACAGGTACAGTAAGCTTGTAGTGTGCTCCATGTGTTGCAACTAATTGTTGCTACAATTTGGATATAATGCTTCATTTACTTATGTGCATATCATTATGATTGACATATCCTTGAAAGTGAATTCCCTATATACTTCCTTGTGTTAATAGTTCTGAGGTGCAGTTATTGCTGTTATCAGTGGTTGAGTCGGGCCTTATGTTTCAGTACCAATCTTAGTCCATTGTTTAATTTGAAATCTACTTCTGTTTTTTTTTTCATGTACAGTAATAGCATTTAAGTTCTTTAATAAATGTAGGCGAAATATTAACAATTTACCTGACCACCCATTGCTGTATCATATGCTCCTGAAGTATTGTTCTGCTTAAGTAATAGAATGAACCAAACCACTTTTTTAGTAAAGAAAGGAGAATGCACAAACTAAACAAATACACAAGGGTCTTGATGAGGGTTCGAACCTACGCACTGGATGTTCCCAGACGCACTCTTGTCATCTTTTGACTAGAATCTGCATCTAGACTAGACATTTGAATATGCACCTTTGTGGGTTTGTCCATGTGATATGTCACATGATTGCAATTTCTGTGTGTAATACACAAACTCTTATATTAGTATTGTCATTCCTGTCATTAATAGAGCTGCAACAGATAAGACTCGTCTGCACAGATTGCTTACAACCATTGTCACAGCTTCTTAATTCTTTCTTGGGCTTAGTTGTCTGTAACTGAAGTGTAAGCCACTCTGTTTTTTTCTCTCTCTCTCCAAATCCTACCACTTAAATGAATGGCTACTACTACTGTCACCCAGTGTGACTCTTAAGGAGAGAATAGTTCTTGATTGTAACAACAACAGTGTGTGCACCTCCTTCCCTACACTGGGAGGCCAAAATCTTATACTCACCCTCTACTTCATGCTATAGTTTTCAAAAACAGGTTTGGTTTTGATCTTGATGTTACTGATGAGCATGCAGTTGATGTTGCTCTCCAGCTGCAGAGAACCTATCTGTAGAGATTTTAATCACATCTAACATATTTCCCATGCCCTTGCCTCAAAACAGCATTTTCAGAGAAACAAGCCCATATAAGTGAATGAAAACTAGAAAATGTCATTAAAAATGAACCATAGAATTTCCTTTTAAATATGCTCAATGGCTTTCTCAAGGTTCCAACTCTTTCTTCTAATGTTGCACCCATCTTGAGATGATTTCGGGGCTTAGCATCCCCGTGACCCGGTCCTCAACCAGGCCTCCTTTTTGTTACACCCCCCCCCCCCCCTTCATGAAGCAGCCCGTAGCAGCTGTCTAACTCCCAAGTACCTATTTACTGCTAGGAACGGGCGTCAGGGGTGAAAGAAACATTTTGCCCATTTGCCTCCACCTCCACTGGGGATCGAACCAGGAACCTCAGGACTACGAATCCGAAGCGCTGTCCATCCAGCTGTCAGGCGCCCATCTACGAAAATCATTAAAACATGATTGGAACCATATTAACAGATTTACCATTCATACCCCTAATATTTCCCATTCTCTATGGGCTGATTTCACATAGGAAATCTAATTTTTAATCTACCATATGATGGCTAAAATTTCCACCAGTCTGTGAACTATCCCAACATCCTAAGCAAATCCACACATCCCCCTGAATGTATATGTGTGTGTGTGTATGTGTATGTATGTGTATAAAGTATATATGGAAGCTGATCAGAATTACATTTCACCTTTGTAAATGCACATTAATGACACTATATAAAAGACACACCAAACACTTTATGTAGGGCATACGTAAATCTGTGTATCTATGTATTTACGTATGTAGGTTAGCTTAGCATTTTAAAAGCACTGAATCACCTTCTGTGGTTGATTGTTCAATAAACCCCTGAAGTATATGTTTAACACATCTCTAACCCTGTCCATGGAGGACAGAAGAAAATGTATATATGCTGGTTAGCATTATAAATGTGTAGCCACATCTGTGGTAGAAAATAATAATAAAAAAAATAAAACTTCAGCGAATTCTTGTTTGTGGAATTGGGTGAGTAAATCCGGCCTGGAAAGTGTGCATTCCAACCAGAGATTTGCCGAATCAAAGTTCCACTGTACTGTGGTGGTCGAAATCCAATACTGACGGTAACAAACATATACTGGCAGTAACAAAATACATGTAACAAACGGCATACTCTTAAAAAATAAGTCTCCCTTGGTCTTCCTCATATCACAGTAATAGACAAAGGGAAATAAATGTGGCTAGGTTGTATATTGGTCACACACACACACACTCAACTCATGGGCACTTAATGGAACAATGTTTTGCTCCTTTTTTATCCAAACTGCACATTGCCCTACTTAATTGTGCACCTCCTTGTAGAATGTCCTGATTTCCAGGTCAATCATTCGTTTTGATTTCCTAATGTCCCTCCAGGTCACTTGACTTTCGATAGAATTTTTGGTAAATCTGATACGTTTGGTGTTGCTCAACTTGTATCCCTTTGTTTTCGTACCGACTTCCAAAGTGGCGCGTTCTTTTGATTATTACAGTACTTATGTCTTTCGCTGTCTTTTAGATTTTTTTTATCCTTTCTTCAATGCTGCCTTTTCGAGCTTATTAGTTCACAACCACCCCTATGCTCATTACAGTGTCTGCCGATTATAGTACTCTATTGTATCCTGAGATATACTGGCCAGCGAGTTCTTTTCTCAATTGTCTTGATGCAATAGCACATCTAGTCCTCTTTGGTTTACCACCATCCCCCAACCACTTTGACTAGACGGTGGATCACTAGACTTGCTTCTTGTAGATTGGTGTTCAATTCCTAACCTTCCAAGTAGTTGGGCACCATTCCTTTCTCATCCCATCCTAAATCCTTATCCTCATACAAGTTCTAGGGTCATAATGATTTATGCTTTTCTCCTGATAATTACCTTACCTTATCACCATTCTAGGCTTACATTTTGCTGATTGAAGTAATTACTGTACATGTTTTCAAAGCTATTAAATGATTTTTTCCAGATTAAAAAACCAGCACTGAATGTAATGAAACGTCATTTTCTGGGTAGAGGCCCGGAGGCTCTCCCACAGAAAGAATAATCTTTACACTATAATAATTGAAGGTTGAATATTATACAAATTCTTTTTAACAATTTTTTATTTAAAATAATTTTAATAGAATTCATAAAATTTAGGTAAGATAAATTTACAAAATAATAAATATTGTTAGCCTTGTCTCAATTCAACAAAGAATACACTGAGATTACTTCATGTTCGGATGGCATACATAACAAGAATTACTCGCCTAAACTGTACTAGGAAAATGTAGCAGCAAAGCCATTCAATTAGCTTTGTCAAAGAAACTGGAGAGATAAGTATACCAAGCTTATTAAAATCTACATGGCAATTTACCACACCTAACGTATATTTGTCAACTGTCTAGATTTGGTTAATTTAGTGGAGAATGTTTTTGATCTAACTGCCTGAATCTTAATTAGAAGTCTATAAATGTAAGCTCAAGAGTTTTGAGTAAGGCCAGATCATAACATTAATATTAAACACTACACCTCGATCGGCCAGCTTAGACACTTATTACAGTACTTGCTTTTATTTATTAGGTATGTTTATTAAATTACTAGTTTGACTATAAACATGTCCTCTCTCCACTGTAACATTTCCCTTCTGAAAGAACATGGGACTGATTGAAAAGTATACACGCACTATAGAACCTCTGTGGAAGATTTATAAATACAAATAATTGTGTATATTTTTTTTTTTTTACATTTTGACAAAGTATAAAAATAAGAGAGCATGAAGACTGAATACTGTGTATAAAATGGAATACTAAACAGTTGAGACAAATCCAATACACATTAGTGAAATTTACTATCAACACATTACCATTTGAATTATGTATATAAAGGCAAAATTGTACAGTATGTGGTTCTTAAATTTTAGTACAGTATACAATTTTTATTATAACAAAGCAAATAGCTAAGTCACATTAGGAACCAAGTAAAAATGTTGTATTCTTACCAAATTAATTTTATTTTTTTTTATTCCACAGAGCCTAAGAAGTCAATCATAAATAAATTCTACAATTATTTGCATTTTTTATACAGTAATTTCAGTTAAAAAAACCTTGTTCAAACCATGTTATTTATTAAATTATTATACAAAACTACTTGTAATAATTTAGTACAATACAAAAAATATATAGTTACATTTATTTAATGATAAATATTTGAAATGCATAAACTCTTAAGAGCACTGCTGACTAATGTGTGTTATTTAATTCTTTGCTTATACAGTATCTAACATAACATTTCCTGCATTCAGCACAGCAGGCAAAGAATTATAAAAATGTTATTGGTTAATTCATATTTCTTTATACAAATATTTACACTAAAGATAACCTTAGCTTTAATGGCTAGGTGTTAATTTTGAAAATTATCACAGTTACCATAAGGAAAACTTTGACAACTTGAATGTCAAACTTTACAATTTCTTAGGATGCTCCGAATTGTTCCATCTTTCCTTGGCTGCACATAAGCAAATTTCTTCTCTGAAATATGCCTGAAAAAAAAATGCAATATTTGAAAATGGAAGGAATGAGGTGGAGGATGGAGAATGAGGAAAGGGAAGGCAATGTAATTATCAGGAGAAAGTGCTAAGCCATTACAATTACAGTACAATATATAGGACTTGGAAGGGATAAGGATTTAAGATACGATGGAGGGAAGGAATGGTGCCAACCACTTGGACTGTCAGGGATTGAACACTGACCAGCAAGATGTAAGGCCATCACTACCATTCAGTCCAAGTAGTTGGGGAGAAGATATAGAACGGAGGAGGAGAGGGGAATGAATGAAAGAATACTGCATAGTGATAGAGAAAAGTTATGGTTAGGATGAGAGGGGTGTGGTATACCTAATATGCTTATTTTTGTGCTTTGAGAAAGTGTAGAGGTTTGCAACGACCAGATCAGTTCTAGAATCAAGACGACTAACCTATGAGTAAAATGTGGACATGGGTGGAAGTTGTAAATGTAAACGAACAAAATAAATTTTAAATACCTGTACCCAGTACAAGTGGAATAAAAACATAACATGAAACTGCAGAAGGCCTACTCAAGGCAGCATCTATTTCTAGCCACCCTTACTCATTCATATGTATAATCTATGCTATAAATAATTTAGCAATCCCACATCTATTACAGTGCCTGGTAATTTGTGCCATAAATAAAAAAACTCCTAAATCAGTATCTACCCAGGTCTTTCCAGAATCTAAACTTCTCCAATCCATTACTTTGTTCTATTTTGTGATATATTTAAACCCTTGTTTACATCCCCTTTGTTATACCCTTTTATTTGTTATACCTTTTTATCCATTTATATACTTCATTCATGTCACCCATTCCTTGTCCCCCCTGCATACTTAACTTCAAGCTCAGATATGACAAAGAACTCTACTATCATCAAGTCGAGTAGGTTAGTAGGCCTTAGGAGGAGGAGGTGGGAAGAGTTTAGGCAGCAAGAGGAGGCTGTAAGGATGCCTAATACTGCTAGAGAAAGATGACCCAAGTATGCAGTAGAATTTAGTTGCAAAGAAAATTGGAGATAAGAAAGGTTTTCAAAAGGCAAATTACCAAAAAAAAAATATACAGGAAACCAATAGTTTAGATAATGCAAAACAGGACTAGGCAGTGAGGGGGGAAAATGATACACAAACTGAAAAATTGTGAAATATAATATAATAGGAACCTTGGAATGTGTACAACACCAAAAAGAGCAAGAAAATATAAATTTAGTGTGTTTTTGAAGACAATCAAGGCCCAGGGTTTTACCACAAGTACTAACATATGTAATAAATACACACAAATCAGGAGAGATCATTTTGTTACGTTCAATACTTGATTTCTGAGAGGGCACCGCACTGTTCTTTCCCTCTCATCTTTGGATTAATTGTAACAAATATGAAACATCATTTTAACATGTCGGGTTCAAAATGCAGCTAATGTGTCAACGCTTCTAGTACTTCAGTGAAAGGAATGATGCCAGGAAGATAAAATGGAGTGCATTAAAAAAAAAATTGAATGGTGCATCCCTGTACACTCGTACATTTTTCCTGCTGACTTTGTATTATTATTTTACCAAGTAAGGCAAAGCTATTTAAATTTTAGTAATCACAGTAGTAAAGCTCAAACACCCCAGTGCATTGAGTTCATTAATTAACAACTAATTACACTGAAAACTCAAAGAATTACAGTACCATGATTTTTCGGTACAGAAGATCAATATTTTGCAAGTATAGATTTGTTAATTCTAATTCAAGAATTTTCTATTTTATAGCATGTTTTTGTATTGGTTTTGGCTCCAACACTTCAATAAAAGGCCAATGACTAAACTTTACCCTAAAAAACAGAAATAAACAAACTTACCGATTATTAAATGGACAATCTTGCAAATGGTTAGCCATGTGATTTGCTTCCTTAAAACCCCAGTGGTTTACATGTTCAAATGATTTGCTAAAGAAACGGCGCTGAAACAAAATAAAAAAAAAAAAAAAAAAAAAAAAAAACATTAAACAATGCTTATTCATTTACCACTTATTCAGCACAAATTGCTTACTAATATGAAAGTTATCCTCTTCATTAAATATCTAGTCATTATATATGCCAATCAATAAATAAATGTAGGAACTCACTTTTCTACCTTCTCGCCATCTTACTTTGTCATTTTCAATGTATCGAACCCACTCTATGATAACGAGGCCTCTTTCATTTAATAATGAGAGACAAATATCTCTCATTAGTCGGCAGGTTAGTGAAAGATTGTTGAGGCTGTAATTAAAGGAAAATAAATCAATTGGATTTAAATTTCACTTCAGTAATGAAAAAGTTGTTTGGTTAAAACTCACCACCTTTGTCAGGGACAAGAAGCATGTGTGTTAGACTTGTTAGGTCCACATAGGACAACTGAATTTTCCCAGGATGCAACCTGCAACATTCCTAACTACTACCTATTTACTGGCAGGTGAATAGAAGGATCAAGTGTAAGGATACAGCCCAAAAATTTTGTTCTAGTTGGGAACGGAACTTGGGGTCCAGTTGACTGCATGCAGAATGTGCTTGCTAACGTGCAGCAACCATCAACTATTTGGTAATGAAAATTACCAGTGTTCAGCACACAGTACAGTATCCCTTAAGAATAAATGAAACTACACAAGGCCTATTGGCCCATACATGGCAACTCCTATTTATATCCACCCAAACTCGTTCATATGTATGAAGTACCTGCATGGAACACACATCATGGGAAGCATAAATGGAAACTTGAGAAAGTTCAGAGTTTTGCAACTAGATTAGTATCAGAATTGAGAGGCCTTGGCTATGAGGGCAGGTTGAGAGACCTCACCCTCACAACCTTACAGAAGAGAAGAAACATAGGGAATATGATAACTACATTCAAGAACCAGAGGGGAATAGACATAATGAGGCCAAGACAGCTTTTTTAAATTAAAAATGGGTATGACAAAAGGACATCAGTTGAAGAGATGTTCTTGTTCCCCGTACAGGTGGTTGGCAAGTGGAATGCATTAAAGAGGTTGGCGAAGCCAATCCCATCCACAATTTTATCATATTTTTTCTTAATGTTTAAAGGCAATTAGTGTCAGATATAAGAGCATACGAGGTGGGGCAAAAAAAGAGCTAGATCGCACTCCCCTGTGGTAACTGAAAATTCATTTTGGTGGATCCAGCCAGCCAGTCAGCTTTGTGCAGGCATATGTGTGTGTGTGTGTGTGTGTGTGTGTGTGTGTGTGTGTGTGTGTGTGTGTGTGTGTGTGTGTGTGTGTGTGTGTATAAGTAAGTAATTACCAAAAGAAGGCACCAAGTTGGGAAGGCTATGTAACACCATCTGTGTGTGTGTTTATTATTTGTGCCTGCAAGATCGAGCTGTTAGCTTTTAGATCTCCGTCTTTCTATCCATCAGTTAGTCTAATGTATGTACTGACTCCTGACACATGCACACACTTACTTTAGGCTTGTATTGAAATCCTCCTGAGGTCAAACTACTGATACTCCCTAAGATATAACCCCTACTTATTGCTAGATGAACAGAGGCATTAAGTAAAAGGAAATGTGCCCAACATGTGTCCCGCCTGGGAATCAAACCTGGGATCTCCGATTGCGAGTTGAGAACGAAGCCAACTCTACTACTTCATCTCCTTGGCACAGGGCACCCCACTAGTAATGCATTGTTATGCAGATCCTGTGAATATAGTATAACAAGAGACCTCCCACCATTCCTGAATGTTCCTTGCATATTTACTACAATGCCAGTTGTATCTTGGTCTGGTCAGGTAATGAGAGACATTTTATGAAGGGGGGGAAAAACATACAGGTCACCTGCCAAGCGACCACCTGGCATCACGGTCTGCCACCCACCCCAACATTGAATTCCTCTCATATTTCCCCCCAACTCTCACACATACTTTGCATATACAGAACAAGGATATTACTTTTGTTAATAAACTCCATCCAACCCCACTGATCTTTAAAACTTCACACAATTCTTCACAATGTGTTATATGTGCTGCATGGATGATGTATATATCATGGGAATGATATAAGCATGGGTGATGAGCATAACATGGGTTGTAGTGAACATTTGAGCCTGTGGACCGCTCCAAGCAACAGTCTGTTGGACCAAGCTAACACAAATCAAGCCTGGCCAGGGGGCGTGGGGAGTAAAAGCACTCTCAGAACTCGCTCAAAGTGTGCTGTTTGTATCATGAATGATGTATAATATGGGTAATGTGTGCAGCATGAGTGATGTGTGGTGTGTTATACAGCATATGTAGCATGTCTGATGTTGCAAATGACTCACCTGAAGCCGTCTAAATAACTAGCTATATTCTGTAGCACTTCAATAGGTAAGTATGTCAAGTTAATGCTGGAAGCAAAGTACTGTTCTGCTGCTTCTCGGCTATCAGTCCTACGGTTTTCTGGGATGGCTCTCATTGCTTTTTGCACAGACGTAAGACGCATCTGACCAAATGCACCAGTAGTTTTTTCGACACTCGGTGAACGTGATCTTGGAAGACCTCCTATGTGTATAAGAATAAATATATATGTAACTACTAAGAATTTGAAAAATACCTCAAACAGTTACTGTACACAGGTGCATTATCAGGTTATGAAATCACAATTATAATATAACAAAAAGTAACAACTGTGCAGTATTAAGAAACATGCATGACAGGAACAATGAGCTAATTGTTTCAACTACAACAAAATACATTATATACCTACCACATGAAGCTGGTTCGTGGTCAAGTTTAGGCCGGACACCAAAAGCACAGAGACTATGACAGTAGACCACATCACCACCCTATCAGAAGTAAATAAATTTTTTATTTTGTAATCATAAAAAATAATACAAGAAGCATCAGAAGGCCTATTGATCCATGTGAAAAAATACACATATATACACACACACACACACACATACTTTTCTAACTGACAGACAGATGAGGGTAGTAATCAGAGGCAATGTATCTGACTGGAGGAGTGTACTAATGGAGTACCACAGGGTTCAGTTCTTACACCAGTAATATTCATCGTCTACATAAACGACTTACCAGAAGGAATACAGAATTATAAGATGTTTGCGGATAATGCTAAGATACTGTGGAAGATAGGAGACGCAGACAATTGTAATGGCCTTCAAATTGATCTAGATAAATGCTTGGAGTGTCAAGTGACATATGGAATTCAATATGAATAAATGCCATGTTATGGAATGTGGAATCGGAGAAAACAGACCACACACAACTTACAAATTATGTGGAAAAGAATTACAGAACTCTAATAAGGATCGAGATTTAGGGGTGGTTTTGGATAGTAAGATAGACAGTTGAAACAAGCTAATTGAGAAGTGGTGGAGGCCAAAACTGTCAGTAGTTTCAAAGTGTTATACAACAAAGAGTACTGGGAAGATGGGACACCATGAGCATAGCTCTCATTCTGTAACTACACTTAAGTAATTACACAGAGTAATGGCGTTTTCAGAATCAGAGTTTTCCAATTTCTATCCACTGTTTTGTTTTTGTATGCTGTATGTGCGAATGTGCTCTTAATCATTAGCACTAAAACAAGCCCATTACTAATGTCAAGTACAGTACTGTAATAGCAAATCCAGATGCACCAAAAGGGGTCTAGAACCAATTATTACACTGAATTCACTCTATTCTGGAATGACATCACTTGATTTTCAACAATATGACAATCATTTGCTGAAATCTTTTAATATTACTAAAAAGCCTTTACATTACAGTATTTGTAAATAATGTAAAGCTTAATGAGCCTTTACAATGTACTTTAATGTACTTTACATTATTTTATTATTAAATAATATTACAATATTTGACAAAAACATTAAATTTTACCAACCTTGCACCCTGGATACAGGCGTTTATATACATATGGGCAACCAAACACATGCAAGGGACACCTGGAGATAAGCCAACCATCTAGGCCTTCCTGTATTTCACTGTGAACATTTTGGTAATGACTGCTGAACTCAGAGCGTCGTACTTCCTATGAAAAATGAAAATTGTAGGACTTAAAATAAAACAAAAACTCCAAATATTTGTATACATTTTCTATATCACTCTGCATTCTATCAATGCCACTGCTTAATTTATGCACCCTGATATTTAAAATAATTTTGATCTGTCTTTCCTGCATTCCACATCTTCATTGCAAGAGTGAAGCACCGAGACATTTATCCTCATGCTAGTTTCCTCAATGACAAGGAAACAAGCAATAGATGTGTGCTTAATCAGAGCTACAAGTCTCCCCAATTTTGGTACCAAACTAGTCCTTCTGTGGCACTAGTAATAATTCTTGCCTAAGGGCCTATGGCCTATCTAGTGGCCTATGTTCAAAATGGACTATTTCACCTACACTTAACCTTTTTTTTAAGTGATAGATTTAAATGCAAAAGATAGGAAAATATAAGGGTGATTGATGCACTATAGAGAGAACACTGTATAATGCTAGCTAAAACATAAGCTAGAGGCACAAAGGTCTTCTATCAGGACTGTAGGAATATTTAAGACAAGTGGCCTCACAGGAAAATAATCTTTAAGAGCACATATTCATTCTGCTTAGAACAAACAAGTAGTGCCTGCTTTCTAAATGTTGTAACAAATTCTTATCGTTCTTACCTGCATACACTGGAACGTAAACATTGGTCTTGGCTTGGTTTGATGCCGGGAATAATGCTTCAAAGTCAGTTCCATGGTCAAGCCCTTACATGTTAACGGAGCCGGAGGAGGGGTCTGGAATCTAGCTCGCTTTCCAATTGGTCGGCCCTCATCGTCCACAATGAGATTTATTTTATCTAAAGTATTTCCTTCTTCCTCCTCATCGGACTCATCATACTTCTTGTATGAAAACACTCCAAATGGATTACGTTTTCTAACCTGAAAACATTAGTTTGCAAGTGTCACTTTTAGCGCCTGTAAAAAGAAAAGGTGATCTACAATGGAAAATAAGGAACCAAATCACAACAGATAGTTGTAGTTTGATTCATATTTTTCAAGGAGGCAAAAAGTTATGTTCAAATTGTTTGAAAACATTCTTAAAAGACGAAGTGAGGGACATGGGCCTGAAATTTTAAAGAATAGAGATACTGTAGCCTCTTTTTTTTTTTTTTTAGATAAGCTAAATATTTACAAACCACCATCAGTAACAGTGTGAAGTATGTTAAAAAGTTTGAGGTACTCAGAAAACAGTTTAGTGTTCTAGAATGAGCAGATGAATAGCATCTGTGCCAGAAGTACTGATCAACAGTAATGCTGCAGCAATATTTCCTAGTGACTACCAGTGCAAATCTTTCAGTGTAGATGAAAAGCTCCTTTCTGAGCGGAACTTTTGCTTCCTTAGGCAATGTCCTGCTCTCCCAAGGACATGTCCCAGGATTTTTACTCCAGGCTACAGAGACCTGAATACAAGATTTGCATTCTCAAAGTGCGATGACCTATCCGTCAACTACAGACAAGAATGGGCAAAAGAAGCTATGACCAAAGCAAAACAAAAAACAGACACACAACACTATCAAACAAACCTCACAGAAATAAATGAAGCATGTAATCATTTAGTAGTAACATGGTGACACAGCATGCCCAGTTTTCTTCCCCAAGCATCAACACTTTGGGCTGGGACCAGATCACAGAAAACTGCAAAAGCAAGCTACACTAAACAGGAGAATGACCATAGTTGAGGCACGAACCAGACCAGCACAAAAAAGAATTACTCTGCAGCATCAACCATAATAATATTTCATGACATCTGGTAGACAATGCAATCCATACACACATTGACATCCACATAAAAGCATAGGTTCAATGCTCAAGCTACAACAATTTCAAGGAAGTAATTATAAAAAAAAATGCACCAAGCAAGGGAGGCTATGTAAAACCATCAAAGTCGCAGGAGATTCAAAGCGCACTAAATATCATTAAGGACGGCAATACAAGAACGAAAGTGCATAAGGCAAGTTATATCAAATGTATCGGATTCACCAAAGACTATCGAGGGACAAATAACCACGAGGGACAGTCAGGAGGTAAGACACACAAGCATCCTGAAAATTAAGACATTCAACAAGGAGATGCATGACTGTAATTTCACGGAAATATGTCACTTAACTGAATATGGGGTCTCCTGCCCACAAAAGAATATATGATCAGTGAGAGTCAAGATAAAAGTAAATTGAGTTAGTAATTACTGCTCTGTTAATAGTTTAAGAGCTGGCATCTGATAACAGTGAGAGAGCAGCTAGGCATCCAAGAACAGATAAGAAATGATGATCAGTGGGTTGTTGAAGCCAAGTTTTGCTTGGAGTAGGTTTTATGGATACTGTATAAATAAATGAACCTACTAGGCAGGATAGAGAAATCTCCTGTGTCACCTTTCCCCCATTAATGACCTGGCAGGGAAATTTAAAAAGACCCCCACTATGTCAGGAAAGAAGTCTTGTTATTTTATTATTATTATTATTATTATTGTATACTATCTCTTTAGAAGTTATAAAAGGTTATATGAAAAATAGATAAGCAGTTAAAAAAAAAATCCTCCATATTACAATGTTGGTTTGCTATATTTACAAAGTTGTATTCAGAAGTAAATCTTGCTGCTTTTGGCCACATACTGTACAGCTAAAAGTGTGTGTATATACACACACAGACAATTTACACATTATACGGGAATTATTTTATATTATAAATCATATACTGTACTGTATATTCTCTAAATTAAAAATCACTATAGTATTTCATTATCAACAAATAATAATTTGACAGAAAATTTATATAACGTTACATTTTAATGTCTTCAGTTAAGGGTATATATGTACCAAAGAAAATGAAATTTTTCAGTAGCTCATGTGAGCTACAGACAGCAGAGTTATTCTTCATAAGCTGACTACTGTAACTTTTCTCAAGAATGTTAGATTGCTCTAGAAGACCTGTGCAGAGCTGACTTGGTATTGATATAACGCACGAGAGCATCTCGTGGAGCATAAGGGTTAATGTGCAAGTACCAGACAGGTTAGACTACATTTATGCTCACAATGTTTAGAGACAGGTATGGAATAAAGAATTATGGGAATATGGTAGTGACAAAGCTATTTTTTTTAGACTGATGACTAATAAACCATTAATTTATGAAATAATACAAATGGTACAGTGAAAATGATTAAGAGAAGGATGTTTACGAGGGTGGTATGAGTCAAAGGATAGACATCCAAAAATGCTATTCCAATACGTTAAGAATATTTTACATTTCATGAACTGGGCACTCTAAACAAAGCCGTAATACATGTAAAAGAATAATGCAGTACTGTAATGCCTTGCCTATCTGTCTAGACATACTTTACTTTCTCTGTTTTGTTTTTGCTGATGCTCTTTTTACAGTTTCCTGTTTAAATAAATCTAATCAATTCATCTATGCATCATTATATTGATCTTTTCTCATGCACAGGCTTTGCTTTTCATTTCATACAATACTGTACCTTCTCCACACGAGGCTCTTCTACCCATCTGATTTCCCCTGGCTTTTTTGTAGAGAGCCGTTCTCGCCACACTTTACCCATTTTGAAGTCAGGTTCATCTGGATCATCACGACAAAATATGCATATATCTTTGATGATACCATGTATGCAGCAAATAGCAGAGATGTCGTCTGATTTGACTGCAGGAGCTGACTGGCCCGAGTTACGCCTCGTACCACCTGAAAAGAAACAGGTCTTTATGAATAAATACAAACTAAACTACTAAACTCAGTTTGACTGTGTAAGTGATCAAAAACAGTATTCCAAGGACAGCATGTCATACAAATACCTGTAATGTAGCATTAAGACATTGTCTTTAAAATTCAAACTATAATTATAATCTACACCAAATTTAAAACCTAAATCATCAAACTAATTACAAGCAACCTGCAAGCACCATTCATTAACTGTTCACCCAGCAGTAAATGGGGACATAATTATAAAGTAATTGATAATCATTTTCCATGGAAAATTAGGATAAAGCTCAGGAAATGAAAGAGTAAGCCCAAACAGGAGTCAGAAGTCATCTCCTGTACCATGTATAAAAAAATGTAATTAGACATTACTGTTTTCTACAATAAGCCCTAACTTTGCAACAGCTTAAAGAATGTGATTTCAGATTGTAGGCAATTTTTATTTAACAAAAATTAGAACTGTCAATGGTTGGTTTGCCCAAATGCAAGTTGATGCACAAGATTTATACAATCAAATTGGTGTAGATTCATACAACTGAACTATATTGGTGCATTAAGGAACCTTTCAAATGTTCCCTGTAATGATAGTGCTAATGAGACAATACAGAACATTCAATCCATTCAATTCAGAAAGTTCATTCTTAAAAATTTTAAGCCCATCCAAGCCATCCTTGGCATCACCATTGACTGTTAATGAATACTCTAACTACTAGATGGCCGCATCTAGATGGCGGCACCGCATACACAAGAGGGCTCACTGGCCGAGCCACCCCACATCAATACTTATTTAGAAAATTATAGGGATTATAGACATTTGCTTTTATGATTTTCTCATGTCACCGACATTTTCTGGTCTTTAGTTGGGGGTTAGATAAAAAAATTTTAGGCAATACCATCAATACTATCTGATGGTATTGATATTGGTAGTGTGTTAGGACACAGCTTTGTACTAGTACCTTGTGCAGGTAATCAACATGTGGCTTGCACCTAAAGAGGTTGTAGAAATCACCTCCATCCACAATTTTAAGATCAGATTCAACAAAGAATTTGAATTTATAATGCAACAAGTACAACCATGCTAGTGGGTGGGGCTTAAAGAACTAGACCTCACTCCCCTGTAGATACTGAGAGACAAGTACAGTACTCTAAACCAAGCAATCCCTCTCCCAAATGTGACAATGTTAGAAGATATCCCCATAGCTCTATCAGTGATTATGAGTCATTCTAATGGGGACTTGTAGTTGGGTGAATACAGCAAGTCACTCAAATACCCATCACATATTGTACTGGGTATCATCTGATACAAGGTATTCAAAAATAATGTATTTGACTGCAATATAATGTTCTATTACATTTACTGCTCTTTTTAACACTCATTAAAATGGTGTCAGGTCAAGTATTATTAAAAAACACTACAAAATGATGATGAGGAAGTTTTGCTACCGAGTTTACTATATTACAAAACTTCTATACAATACTTACTTCTATACTCTAGTCACAACTTCACTGGCACATAGGTCATACCAGTGCAAACTATAAGCCTTTACAACTAAATCTAAAGGAGTAGAATTCAGTAGGTCTTTTGTTAACATGCCTATTGAACCCTTGCACTTGATGCAACCCGACCACCAGTAAGGTGTCAAATGATGAGTGTTTGTATTATAATTACAGCATCACATGTGAATAATAAGCTGTTTTTTCATTGAAAATGACAGTTGTATCACATGACAACAGCTATCAAACTCTGTACATCATCTCTTGTCATTCTTGATGCTAGAACGACTAACATAGATCATTATTCACATCTGCAGACATATATGAATGCAGCAACATTTGACTCTGCATGATGGCAGTGTGAGGGATATATACTGACTTATTGTCTACTGTATAGAGCATCCAACTACCAATCCTGCAGACAATTATAGTTAACACTGTAAGCTACTGTTTTCCATTAATAACTTCCTTTATGCTAGTAATGGAGGCACCCATGATATTAGTTATATCTTATCTATCAAAGTTTAATGATCTCATGTTTTTTTAATAAAAATTTTGTTTAAATCCATACATAACTAACCTGTTAAAGTAGTCCAAGCAACCAGCCTAATAAAAGAGAAATGCAGTAAATATACTTTATGAAAATCAAGCTCTGTAAGGTAACTAATATGATCATCACTTTCTATAGAGATATTGTTGGTTTTATATTTAGATAAAACAGTTTAGGGTTACATATGAAAGGTAAAGAAGGAAATTATGAACAAGAGCCAAGCCAGAATAACTATACTGTATAGCAATATGAAGGTTAAGGTGACATGTAAAATATTAGTAAAGATATGTGTCAGAAAGTTTGGTGTCTAACAAGGAAACATTATGTTACTACATACTATATTTTAAATTTGATTAGTGGTTTTCAATTTGTACAAAGGTTTAGCCAACTAATAATACAATACATTTAACTCATTAGCCAACTAATGCACAAGTCTATTTAAAACTATTTAAAACTGATGACGCAGAAAGAAATCTTATGATAGACATTTCTGCAATATGATGCACTATGGTATATGTACCGAAGAAAACTATTAATGACCATAATCTGTAGGAGCGTTGTTGACACCGTCCAGGGAGTAAGGGTTGATGAAGGGTTGAGTAGGAATGGATGTGCCCCTACACTCATTACTGTTGCAAGATAAACCCTGCTTCTTGCCCCGTAAAAGTTCAGTGCACACAGACACAGATAGACCTGGGAAAGCGAAGCAGAACAACATGTTAAACAGCAAGAGCTACACAACATAAAAGTAAGATGTGTAATTTAATACGAGTTTCATCAGTTATTTTGAATTTGTACAGAAATTTACATTTTCAAAATAGGAATTTAACAATACAGTATATATCATAAAATTAACAAACTTAATCTCAGTATATAAAGAATACATGGCAATGTTAATGCAATCAAGGTGGCCACAAAAAGTTTTATAGTGACACGATGGATGATCAAAAATACATTGCAGTCGAATTACCGTAATTTCTTGGTCAAGTTATCAAAGTATTAGTGTGAACTCACAAAGTACTGTAGTAAGTTTGATCTCCAGGCTGGATAATGGTGGCTCACTTGACATTGTACTTTTGTCACGGATGGTACCTAAGGTCCCTAAAGCCACAATGCATCTACCTTTCTAAGAGCCAAAGAGCCTAACAAGCCAAAGAGCCTAAGCAGTCGAGTGTATTGTTCGTGTACTGCACACCAACGAAACATCAATGTGTATTTGGCATAATTGAATGTGAAACGGCTTAGGTGTGGTGAACAATTTTATAGTGGTCAGCACAGGTAGCAAACAGGACAAGCTGATATTCAGAGAGAGACCTCTTTTGATGCTAAAAGAGGGCTCTAAAGGGCTTTAAAATTGTATAAATAGTAAATTTGAAAGTCATTCTGGACTAGACTGAGTTTTTTCTGCAGATTCCCAGTCACATCTTAATAACCTTGCAAGAATGCTTCAGAAGATCCCTGTGGCACCAGTATCTGAACCTGTCATGTGTTACAGCACATCCTTACCTTATTTACCTTAGGAAGCAACCAAATGTAATAACTCAGAAAAGCCTGATGGATGGTAACAAGATGCTTGATACAGTATTAACAATTACTGTATATCCAGTCATCAAAATACTGTACTGTACTGCATATTACTACTGTACCTGGCGTGAGATCATCATCTTCCTCATCTGTTGCTGACCGACTTATCTTGTGGAAATTAAAGTGCTCCTGTGGGGTTTCATGCCTGGACCCATGTAGTGTTAGTGGTAAACATGGAAAACGGCGCGTAATTCCATTACAGAGTGTTGCTCGAACTTTTTTTGGCATCTTCTGCATCTCATTTACAAGTTCTTGGTCATGTAGAGCTAAGGCCATGTCTGATTATTTAAAAAAATACATTACAAAAGGACATTGAATAAATAAACATATTTAAGGTAATGACAAACTTAATATTATAAATTTATTTGAGCTATCATGAAGCTTAAAAATTACTCTTGAAAACATAAAAAAATAATAAACATTTAATATAACAATAAATACTCAACATAAATAGAATGGCAGAACTTGGGATTTCAATGAAGATGAAAAACTCCAAAAGGCAAACTCCTTTCTAGTCCAAATGAACAGTATCAAGATAGTCAGCACAGAGTATCATTCTACAGTGGCAACACAGACAGTTAACTCAAACACTTAAAAGGCTTTCCAAGCCCTACTGAACATCACAGACACTGCCAAATAGCACTTTCACTACCACTTGACTCGCCAGGCACTACCTCACACTGCCACCAGATGGCAGCAAACACTACACAGAAATTCCCTGCTCTATGCCTCCTCACAATCTGGTTGATGAAAAAGAAACATCTGCTCTCAGTGCTAACAGTAATGTAAGAAGTTAACAGGACACCCATACCAGATAGTGCCTGGATTACAGAAGTGCATGCCAAGAAGTCTGGAAATGCTAATACTGTACAAGGCATCCACAGGACCAAAGGCATGATACACCAAAATGATAGCCAAATCATGCCTGAATGAACATACTGTATAGGGCCCCAGTGAAATTATGTTTAATTTCTGGGATCAGAATATAAAGCTTGGACTCTTAAAGAACTACATTCCTGGAAAGATCTGTGTAAATAAAACCCCACAATTGAGCTTAAAAGTACCATATAGTACTGTATATTGGAAGAAAGTGTGTTGCATTCCATAGGCTTGTACCCCAACCACTTGGGCTGGACGTTAGAGCAAAGGTCTCGCTTCATGCAGATCGGTGTTCAATCCCCAATCGTCCAAGTGGTTGGGCACCATTCCTTTCCCTCATCCCATCCCAAATCCTTATCCTACTCTCTTCCAAGTGCTATATAGTCATAATGGCTTGGCACTCTCACCTGATAGTTCCCTTCCACCTTCCATAGGCATGCAGTCAAATTATTTTCAACTTCTCAATAAAACACCTTCTATATCTGAACATTAATTATAAAATACTCCTGCCAATCTCCAGCCAAAAATGGTACAGTACATAATAAATTGTAGAATGCCTAGGAGATGCCATGAACTAAAAATATGATCCTGTCTGTAAAACACAAAAAGCAGTGTACTGTAGTATATGACAGCCTCACCCAGATGTAACAACCCATCTTCTTAATTTAAGTTAGTAAAAGTGAACATCCTATAGTGTACAAGAAACTGGCAGGGTGTCAAAATATAGAACTTGGGGAAAACATCATATATCACATACAGAAAAGTCAGGTTGCTACACGGGGATTAGAATGTGGTCGGTTTGCAAACTATCCGACAATTTATGATCAGCTCTACAAAAGATAAAGAAGGTACACTTTTTTAAAAGGGATATAAAAAAAAGGTATACAACTAAAAAGTACCATTACTGTATTTAATACAGTAAAATTTTGCATTCTTCTCCTGGGTGAATTTTGTACATTGTGAACAGAGAAAAAAAGTTTCATGTGGAGATAGCTAGGTTAGAGATTATGCGAGGAAACCATTTGTAGTGAAAATCTTCACCCGGGTAAGAATTAAGTGTGTTGATCATGTGAAGCCTAGCAAAGATGTATCCTATTGATGGGCATTTGTGCTAAGCTGTAACTGAAAAAAATTACATTCAAGAGGAATGATGGTGTGGGTGAGGAAGGGATGGCTGATGTTCTTTACTCAAGAGGGTTGGAAGGGCTAATAATCAAATGGAAAGACAAATAAATTTCAAGCTTTTTTTTTTATGCAAGTAAAGGACAGACAAAAAGAAACTTTACTTACTCACCAAGATCTGTAGGATCATAGAGAGCAGTTAGACCTTTGGCCATAGACACCTTTTCCCTTTCTTTGGCTCCTAAGGCCCACCGATTCCACTCTGCATTACATATAATGACTGAAGCTGGACAGAATGGTAAATGCTCTGCTATGAAGCGGCGCTGCATCCAGTGAGGGCACCCATAACCAGCATTGATGCAAGGCACCCTTTCATGACTACACATGAGCCGGTGTTCTTCCGTTTTGCATACATGAAATCTGAAATTAAATTTCCAGCGATACTATAACAAAATGATTACCAATACCAAATCACATAAACCACATTTGTGGTTTTACATTATAAAGTGCTAGCTCATAGTGTCCTATCTTCATTTGCATATTTATTACATTTATTCTTAAGAAGATTTATGGGCTTTTTTTATACACTGCCTCATCTTGCAGTGCAATTCAGCCATCTACAACAGCGTGAATGTATATTGTTGTATATCAACAATGTGTGTTTTGATTGTATATCAATAAAAATAACAAAACAAGAAATTTTTCTGGCTATATAACATTCTTATACAGTACTGGGAACTGATAGGTGTAGGCAACAAAAAAAAAAAGTAAAAATAAAAATTATATAAAGTACGTACTTACAAGCAAATATAATAATAAATGTGCATACTTGTTTAACCGATATTAAAGACTACTGCAATCATTTTGTTCGTAATGATGGAGATAAAAACAGGTTTTTGGTTAGGCACATTGTACTTACTTGTGACCGCACCCATTGAAACACATCTCAAGTTCACAGCACCACCCAGGTTTGGGGCGTTCAGTACACTTCATCATCTTGAAACAATGCTCACAATGAAAATGTATATTAATATCCACTTCATCGTCATAGTCTTCAGCAATGCCAACTGACTCATCACTTCCCTCTTCTCTGTCTGACTCTACAGGTGCCTCCATCTCTGTAAGAGAATTGAAAATGATAAGGCATCATGGTAACTATTTTAAAAAATATAAATATTATATATATATATATTATATATATATATATAATGCCCTTTGTATGCTTTGCCGTATCCTACATCAATTCTTCCCACCAAGAGCAAAAATAAAACCAAAAATCCTCTTGTTCCAACTGGTGTAACCCTAATACAGCCAGCGGCTTATAAGGTGCCGGGTACAGGAGAGGGCGAGCACCTGTGTCCAACTCTCTACTCCCACACACCACTTACTCCTCTCAACACAATACACTTTACCCCACTTAAAAGTTAAAAATAATAACCTCCTTTTCAAGTTGCCGTTCACATATTTGTCTCCGGATCCAGTAATAAGGAACCTCGGAGCTAATAACAAGCATAAAATGGATGCAAATATAGACGAGACGTACCCTGGCTCCCTCCCAGACAGGCCCTGAGTCTGTCCAGCTGATTGTCTGAAAACATTAGAAAATTTGACACGCTGGAAGCGCACTTAGTCACTGGTGTTCGAGCCTCGTGTTCGAAAGATTTGACTTAAACTGGTAAAATGAATCTCTCAACACTGAATCCTACACAATTGTAAACCGTGAACAAGCATTAGGATACACTGCTAACAAAACTAACACTTTACACTGGTAAAACGTTTTACATGTTGCTTGGTAACAAGTCCACCATTCAAATTAACTAAAGAATTAACAGTACCCACATTAATAATTATTAAGGGCAGAGAAAATGCGAAATTTCTTGGTGTTCATAGTGACAAGAAGCTCAATTTACATTGCCATATACAAAATATATATAAAAAAAATGTTCCTGAAACAGTAGGCATTCTCTCCAAACTTTGTACGCCCTTTAAGGGACTTGAAGTAGAGGGGGAGGGGTAGAAATAGCCTAAGTTACTCTATCCCTTTGGGATGTATATTTTTTCTTGTCTCAATAAACATACTTGTACTTGAACTACATACCTCGCTTTGCCTTGGTAGCTTTGTATTATTTATTTATTGTACCTGAGAGCCACTAACACTATATATATATAGTGGCCTCGACGAGCACAGAAAGCCGGCAGCTTGTCGAAGATCTCCCCATTTGCCTTGGTGACCTTTTCCAGTTGAACTTTAAGAGTTAACAGGGTATTGCCATTTACGGCTTCGGCGGGTAGGCGGTTCCACAGGTTTATAACCCTGTGGGTGAAAAAGCATCTCCTGTTCTCAGTCCTGCAGTGTGGCTTGTTGAGCTTGAAACCGTTTGTGTTACAGTTGACCTTTTGAAGACATTTTCGCTCATCTATCCATTTCTAAGTTCGAGAAAAACATAACATAGGGAAAATAGTTAATAAATGAAAGTAGCAAACATCAAGAAAGTAGCACTTATAAAGGAATAAACAAGACGTAATTGAATATGAAATATCCAAGTACTGTACACGAATACAGTTACAGAGTAAGGTAATTCTGTTACCTGAGCATTACCTTAATTCTAAGGTAATGCTCCCTTTTAAATAACTTCATTGCACATCCTCTCAAGTGTACTCTATATATATAAAACAATGCAGTGCAGTTCTAACTGCAATGCTGGAAAAGATCAAGGCAAATGGGGAGGGATCTTCGACAGTCCGCATTGAGGCCACTAGGGTTAGTGACTCTCAGGTAAACTCAGGTGCACTTAAGTTCCTTAAGTTCCTATATATATATATATATATATATATATATATATATATATATATATATATATATATATATATATATATATATATATATATATATATATATATATATATATATATATATATATATGTCGTACCTAGTAGCCAGAACACACTTCTCAGCCTACTATACAAGGCCCGATTTGCCTAATAAGCCAAGTTTTCCTGAATTAATATATTTTCTCTAATTTTTTTCTTATGAAATGATAAAGCTGCCCATTTCATTATGTATGAGGTCAATTTTTTTTATTGGAGTTAAAATTAACGTAGATATATGATCGAACCTAACCAACCCTACCTAACCTAACCTAACCTGTCTTTATAGGTTAGGTTCGGTTAGGTACCCGAAAAACTTAGGTTAGGTTAGGTTAGGTAGGTTAGGTCGTCGAAAAAACATTAATTCATGAAAACTTGGCTTATTAGGCAAATCGGGCCTTGCATATTAGGCTGAGAGGTGCGTTCTGGCTACTAGGTACGACATATATATATATATATATATATATATATATATATATATATATATATATATATATATATATATATATATATATATATATATATATATATATATATATATATATATATATATATATATATATATATATATATATATATATATATATATATATATATATATATATATATATATATATATATATATATATATATATATATATATATATATATATATATATATATATATATATATATATATATATATATATATATATATATATATATATATATATGTACTCACCTAGTTGTGTTTGCGGGGGTTGAGCTCTGGCTCTTTGGTCCCGCCTCTCAACCGTCAGGAATTATATGTGTATATGTGTATATCACGAAAATAAACACGTGATTAAGAATGTGACAATGTCAGACCACGGAGGAAAAATGAAACAGGAAATTTCCTTAAGTACTTTCGTATATTAAATACATCTTCAGAAGGTCACCCTTCAGAAGAAGGACCTTCTGAAGATGTATTTAATATACGAAAGTACTTAAGGAAATTTCCTGTTTCATTTTTCCTCCGTGGTCTGACATTGTCATATATATATATATATATATATATATTTTATTTTATTTTATTTTATTTTATTTTATTTTATTTATTTTATTTATATATATACAAGAAGGTACATTGGGTTTGTGAGAATACATTGGATAGTACAGTAATTGCATTCTTGTAAAGCCACTAGTACGCGCAGCGTTTCGGGCAGACCTTATATATACCTTATATATATACCTTATATATACCTTATATATACCGACCTTCGGGCGTATACTTTATATATAAGGTATACGTTCATAATAATCCTCTATAATGTAATTAATTAAGTATACATGCAATTAATTAATGGCAAATTGCGTGAGTAATCATTTTTGCGACTAAATTGTACATTCTTGCAAAGCCGCTAACATGCAAGAATAATACATGTTTCATATATTAATATATTATTCCTATCATGGGTTGGAGTCAAATTAAAGATGGAGAGGGAGAGGGAGGGGTTCAATATAACTTTGCTAGCAAAAATAGGGGAATGACCCGGGTTCCTGAACCGATTATGTGCCTCTGTAATCCTTTACACCACCGCCCACGGGAAGGGTATGGGGTGCATAATAAAGAAAGAAATTGAATTGACCTGGAAAAGGTTGGGAGCCCCCTTTTTTATTATTATTTTTTTATTTAGCAAACTTAGGTATACACAGCAATGTTTTGCTACCATATTCTATATGAAAGATTACACAGTGTAGATCAAAAACTAGCTATAAGTTCATCTAATATCCTCATCTCACAGGATGGTTAGTCATACATGGCCTTGAGGGACCTCGATAGGCCTAACAGACAACAATGAGAAACCTAACTATAAATGATTTTACCAACTAATCTAAGCCAGCTCATCTTAATAGACCTACTTAATCCATACTATATGTTTTGGATGAGTGGAGCATATCATATATAGTGTTACACAATAATAATGCTGTAGTAGAGGAAGTAATGAATGTACGAAACGTGTGTGTGTGTACGAGGTGACCGGAGCCATGTTCCTGTGCGCCTCACCCGTGTCGGCGGCGGTCGCCCTCACCATCCTCTTGTAGCTCATTCCTTCCTTGTGATTAGTAATGCTCGAATATGGAGATTTGCTAAAGGTAACCTATGTCATTTATTTGCCTTGTGCGATAAATTGAATCGTTATGTGCGTGGAAGCATACGTTTAAATGGGACGTTTTGTTGTTGGTGAGGAAGGGTCATTAGGACAGGCAGGCCTAAACCTCTACTAGGCTGTAATTACCTAAGTGTAGTTACAGGATGAGGCTGTGTGACATTGTAAGTGCCAGAATTAGGCGGGGATATAGGTGTCTATGGCAGGTGGCTGCAGGTAATGAATTCCCCAATGGTGAACATTCCTAGTATAAACTATGTGAACAAGAGCTGGGAGATTTTTTTTTTTTTTTTTTAAGATATATACAAGAGTTGTTACATTCTTGTACAGCCACTAGTACGCGTAGCGTTTCGGGCAGGTCCTTAATCCTATGGTCCCTGGAATACGATCCCCGCTGCGAAGAATCGTTTTTTCATCCAAGTACACATTTTACTGTTGCGTTAAACAGAGGCTACAGTTAAGGATTTGCGCCCAGTAAATCCTCCCCGGCCAGGATATGAACCCATGACATAGCGCTCGCGTAACGCCAGGCGAGTGTCTTACCACTACACCACGGAGGTTGATAAATAGATATAGATATCTATAGTGTTAGAGATACTCTATAACTATATCTGTCCTGTTATCAGTCAATTCAGACAAAATGGTATGAGGTACTTAGAGCTCGGTAACTACATTATACAGTCACGAATATTGGAAAGTGTTCTTGCACTGTAGCCAGAGTTTGTTAGTGGAGGCTGATAGATCGGCCTCGAATTTCATGTTATCGCTTGATTCCGTGTACGACTAACCGTCCTGTGGTTCATCTAATATCCCCATCTGTGAAATGGGGATAGTAGATGAACTTATAGCTAGTTTTTATCTACACTTTGTAATCGTTCATATAGAAAAGGGTACAGTAGCTGCACATTGCTGTGTACCTTACTTGCGGTGATTTTGAGTCTTAGCGTTTCCGCGGCCCAGTCTGCGACCAGGCCGCCTGCTTGTTAATAACAAACAAAGTTTTGTTTATCTGCATTTATGCTGTCTCCCCACACTCGTATGAAATGTTACAGATTTCTATATTGAAAGTTAGTTTAGTTTATTTATTATGCACCTCATACCAATTCTGTCAGCGGTAGTGGAAAAGGTTATCAGAGGCACATAATGGGCTTTGGAACTGAACCCCCAAATTCATTTAGCTGAACAAGTTACTGTCTTTATAAGGTAGTTACGAAATTTAACGTATGTTAAATCAACAAAGGGTTCGAGGACTCGACCACAAATACAATCTCTAAGCTCACCAACTTACATAGTGGGCAGCAATGGAAAGGTTACAGTCACCCACATTTGCTACCTATAGTTAGCAAACTGGGGATATTTTGTTAATACTGTATAGGTAATAGATAATATTAATTTGGTTAATATTTCAGGTAAATAATATTTCTGTTCAAAAGCTAGCAATTTTTTTGTTTAACTTATTATGGACCACTGCAGGCTGCTACAAGCAATAGCCTGTTGGACCAAGTTATCACAAGTCGAAGAAGAACTCCCGAGACCCTCTCCAAGTATGCTCCAGGTATCCAGGTATGTGCCCTGATTGTGGGCAGCAGCGGGTTTACAGTCACACATGGACTATTATGCTCCATAATCTCATGTTGAACTAGTTGCATGCAATATTCAGTTCAACACAAATGTAAATTGGTTAATTTAAAGACCATTTTTACTAAGATCCCCATTTTGTAGTATGGTTTGTCATACACAGGCATGAAATACATATACAGTATAAGTGCAACAAAGCTTGTCATTTGGTTAAATGCTGTTGTCTGCCCATTAATTGGTTGGGTGTCAATGTGGGACAGCCTCACCTTAGTAAGCCATTCTGGTAGTGTCATTTTACTTTGTTCTATCTATAAGGTTTGTTAAGCTATGTATTTTCACACAGTGGACCTAAATGCTATGCTTTAGTGCCTTTGCAGGAGTTTACCTTTACCTCTTGCTTTATGTACTGGCATTAATTATATTACTGTATATTATTTCTAAACTCAAATTATGTTTTAAAGTCTTTGCTGTAATTGAATGAGAAACTATTTTTCAAATATTTCTGTTTACGTTATATAAAGACAAATGTGAAGACGTAGTGTGATGATTTGTGAGTCAAAGTACAGCATTGCACTAATAATCACCTTAAAGAAGTTTTTTGGCATTTTATTAGTCCTCTACTATACTGTATTGCAATTTAGTTAGAATAATGTAATACAGTACTGTACCTGTATGCAGTATTTAAGTGTTTTCATGACTGTAGGAGATGAATTGAGTATACAAGAGTTTTAGAAAGATAGTGGCAGACACTTGACATTGCTTGACCCTGCTATTGGGTAGTTATTGCTTGTTTTGCATTTTGTGGAGAAGAGTAGGGTTGTAATAAACTCGGATACCTTTTAGTTGGGCCTATGTAAAGTGACAAAATTAGTGATCTTGTTTGTGTGGAGTTTGAATTTCAATATAAGTCTGATTGTTTGACTTCTGCCATAAGCAAAGATCAATTCAGTTTTGGCCATTCAGCCTTTGTACTTTGAGATGATCAACAGTGCCATATGCACAGCTGTGCATATTTCTACATAAGCACAGCTTACTGATCGGGTATAATCTTCTTTGGTGATGATTGTTGACCAGACCACACACTAGAAGTTGAAGGGTCTGGTCAACATACTTCAGCCACATTATTGTGACATCACCTGCATATTGGTGATGATTTGTATACGATTATCATTATAATCCTTTTATTGTCATCCAACAATACAGTACAGTACTGTACTTTATATACAATACTACAGCAATAATATTTTGGTAGGTGCCTTTGCAGGCAATTTAAAGAAAATTAGATCATACTGTACTTCTTCATTTTGAGCAAAACATACAGGTATAAATAATTAAACAATAGTATACAGTATCAGTAAATCATCTAGGTAGAATAGTTTTAAATTTGTTCTATCAGGATCAGAAACAGGACATTTACTGTACAGTACACAGTATAATATAATTAAAATTTCATTATTTCATATTCCATTTTTTTATTGACATGCTTTTTACAACTTTTTATGTAAGAAATTTTATTGAGATAATGTACTGCACAGTATTGTAATTATTTTATTTGTGGGCAGAATATATAGTACGTTAGTTTATTAATAGGCTACTAAGTCTTTGACAAGTACGGTAAATTATTTTGTGCACAGTCTAAATCAGTATTAAAGTACAGTAATATCAACAAATATTTTGTTGAAAAAGTATTTCAAACTAAATTTTTAAGTTCAGAAATGCCATTTACTAAAATTGCCTTTGGAATTGAGGGCTTTGATAGTTACATTTTTACATACAATAAATAACAGTGTGTTTATGATTCAGTTTTGTACTTTTAGTGTTTCAAGATGGTTAAGTTACAGGTTGTTCATATATTTTTAAGCATAAATAAATGTAAATGATAGCTGAACTTAATTGTCAGGTAAAATGGCCTGCAAGATAGATGGATGATGGAGTCGGATGGGTTCCAGTTAGTGTGTAAAAGAAAAGCTGCAAGAAGAAGGAAACTCCTTAAGACAGTTAATGATGGTGATGACGGCCTTAATTTAAGCCAAGAAAATGTAAACAAATGTGTTGGGTAAGTGCTTAGAGGAAAAGTAGGTGTTACCTATGGGCTTCCTGGCATTATTAGATCCACTAGAAATTGTGTAAATACCAATACGTATTACTGAATTGTAATATTGTCACCTGTGCATTAGTTAATTAAGAAGGAAGTATACAGTAATTTTTTTATATAAATTTCCTTCACACCTGTCATTTGCCTTCATTTATACTTTTGAATTTGTCATAGAACATTTTATTTACAACACATTTCACCAGTAAGCTCCCGGGTTTCATTTCCTGTGTTATACAGTACTACTGTATACCGTATTACAAATGTATTTATATTCGTATACTCCACTGCATAGAAAACTCAGTTTTTTACTTGAATTCTTAGATATAATGCTTGTATTGTATTGGTGGTGTCTTTAGTAATGATGTATTAATAAACTTTTAAATTTAAAAGAATACTGTATACTGTATTACACATTTATGTTCCTGAACAGTTAGCCGACTCAAGAATAGGTGACTCGCATGTAAACAATTAGGCACCGTATATAGTACAGTATATGGTTCTGTATAAGAATATACAGTTAAATATGCCACAATATTTAACCTAAAATTATTTCCTTTCTAGGAAAATTTTTGAAGCAAAACTTGTTCTTCAATCAAGTGAAGGATTTATTGACTTCAAAAATAATTTGAAAAATATTACCACACTATCACAGACTCAAGGAGAAAAGTGCAATATTTCCTCTGTGGTTTGCTACGGTCTAGGCTTACCCTCTTCTAGTAGGATTGCCAAATACCAAACAGCATTGCTTCTACTCCTCAGAGATCATTTCTGTGTTGAAGCTGAAATTTATGACCCTTTACTTACCAAAGTGGATACCAGAGTGCTGCAAGAGCTCAAGCTGCATGTCCTAACCAAAAATGAGGAGGGAAAGAGATATGTGAAAAGAGCAACAGTATTTTTTATGCCACATTGTGGAAAAGAATTGTATAATAATCTCCTGTGGGCAAATTGGAATCCAGTATCGCTACCATTATGCATCATCATTGGCAACAGTTTCAGTAGCATTGTACAGAATGTACCATCACAAATGCTGAAAGAACATTATAAATTTATATATCTTGCTGAAGGTTTGTGTAAAGAATATCCCTTGAAAACATTAGTAGAGTATGATGACATATTTAATGAAACGAGTATTCACGTTATATCCGAAGATATTGTCAGTAAAAAGGAAGATAACTTTTGGTGTGAAAAATGTGAACCGCAATATGATGAATGCAATGTAGCGATTATCAGAGTGAAAGTTGATGAGCCGGCAGCAAAGTTGTGCTAAAATGATCATAAGAATGATTTGTGTATGTATTCATAGATATAAATACATTTAAGTGCATATATATATATATTTGTAAAATAGCTATAAGGTTTTAACACTTAATAAACATGAACTTATTCAGAAAACTATGGACATGTTTTATCTTTGCTGTTACTGTCTTGAATGGTTATACATATTCATCTCATTGTAATAAGGGCTTCTTCAAATTAGGGCAAGCTACAGAATGTCATCCATGGCTTACTTGTGAAGATATTATTGATTTAGAAAGCAACAATTTAATTGGTTTTGGGGCTGTGAAACAGGTTTACCAATCAACATGGCAAAATAATGCAATAGCTATTGTTCACATAAATAATAGAGATTACCTAAGTGATTTTTTGTATGGCTTTGAAATGTTAAAGTCACTTGGACCTAGTAAATACATTGTTCAGTTAATTGGCTTTTGTCTAAAAGATTTTGTTTACTTGACTGAATATCATCCTCTAGGTAATAGTATTAACATAAATAAAATATTTCTTAATGATAATATGTTAGCTCTAAGACAAAGATTTGAGTTATGTATCAATTACGTGAAGATTCTTGAATTTTTACATAATAGTCCTTTAGGAACACGAGTTATGTGTGACTCAAGTACATTAAATAAGACTCTTGAACAGTATCTAATAAGCTCATCATTAAATCTTATTTTAAATGATGTCGATGCTCTACCAGAAGTTGGACACGAGGGCATTATCTGTGGTCACAAGGAGCTCCAAGGTAGCTTTGTAGCACCAGAGCAACGGTGGCCATACTCTATGCAAGTTTATGATGAAAAAAAAATGGTACCGTATGATGAGAAAGTTGATATATGGAAAATTCCTGCAGTTTGTAATTACTACTTAGGGAAGAGTGAAGGTGCTAAAGCTTTCAGATACCATGTTTATCCCATCCATAAACAGTGTAGAGAAAAGCTGCCAAGAAATCGACCATCTGCTAGTGAAGTGTTGCAGTTTTATGAGAGTTTGCTTCGGGAATATTTCAGAGCTGAATTGACGAATGTGAAAGAAGAACTTTAATCTTTTTTAGATGCTTCGTGTACTAGATCATAAAAATATACATACTGAACTGTAGTTTATAAGACCAAATCAGTTATTAGTATTGTATGGTTAGCAGTTTTCTATCTCGGTATAAATCTAAATATAATTTTCTGTTTGAAAACAAATGTACAATATCAACAGTGCTACACTTTTCAAAATAATCCTTTAGAATATTGTAAAAAAAATTAAAATCCTGGTGGTGTACACTAAATGGTTATCAAATGCACTTCAGCTGTTTGCCATATTTTCAACACTACCTACCTCCAGCATAATGTAGAACCAGCACTAACATGTATCAGAAGTACATCCATAGCAGGACCCCACAACTGTATACAAATATTGTACAGTAGGTCTAAAGTACATCCTGTGAATTATTGTTTAACAAATGTGCAAAACATTCATTCTCTCAATGGATTCTATCTAGTCTTTTTAATTACCACTAATTATGTTATTCAGTTATAACTGAATAACATAAGGAATATGTCAAGAAATAACTTATTCAGTTATTTCTGGCTTCATTATTCGCTCATTGTGTGTGTCAATCTCTGTCTTAGCCTTCTTAATCATCCATTCATTTAATATGACCAAACTATTTCAATAAACTTCCCTTTTGTACTTATCATCCTTTATTTATCCTTCTACCACCACAAATGCTTCCAGATTGTCTATTTCTTAAATTCTAACTCTTATTAAATATGCTTATGATTCAACATCTTGCATCCACACATAAGGGTAGGCATTATCAATATTTCATGCATGCCTATATCTGCCTCTCTTCCTGTATTATTCATTCTGACCTTGGCTTGCAACACTATTAACTTCTGCACAAAATGGACTACTTATAGGTCTTATTTGTTTTCTACAAGTTTCCCATCTTTAATTTCCTTCTTGCTGCACCACCATAAACCTAGTCACATTAATTATAACATTTTCCCATAATTATTTCAACAAAACTTTCAACTAATACGGTATTCCTTATCATTATCTACATTACACTATCTGCATATGCCAGATTTTGTGAATTTGGTTTATTCTTATGATAGATAGTGTATTACATTTTTTTCCAATATTCTTGCCTATACTGCCCACATAACCCCATTTATATACTGTACTGGATATTCAGCCATATACTGTATATTGTATATTGAGCAACCATAGAGATATTACACAACCCTGGTGTTCTACATTAGTATAAAAACCAGTCACACATTGTATCATTAATTAACACAGGCTCTATTTCCTGCATAAAAGATTTGAATTCCTTTTAATATTACTGTACACTGTATTCCATCATCACTCCATAGACTCCCCATTACAGTATTTACTTCATCATATGCTTTACTCAGGCTTCCTGTCCCTGAGGAAACAAGTTATTAATAATTAATGTACTGTATTATTATGAAATTCCATATCACCTAATAATCTCTTGTATGATTTCTCTACTAGCTGCCTTAGTGCAAATAATGTATCTGATTAATACATCTCATGTTTGTCATTTTAACTAAATTTCAAGTTACATGTACAGTATTACTATTCTGCCATATATTTTGGCCACCACATACATAATAACGTATAGCACCATACTTTAGGGTCCCGATAGTACATTTGGGTTCGTTCTCGACTCACAATCGGGAATTCCGGGTTCGAATCCCGGACATGACAGAAATGGTTGGATGTGTTTCCTATCACCTAATGTTCCTGTTCACCTAGCAGTAAATAAGTACCCAGTAGTCAGCCAGCTTGTTGTGGGGTTGCAGCGTGGGTAAGGGTCAGTAATTTGACCTGGAGGAGATGAGGGGGGGGGGCGCTCAATAATATAAGCCTAACATGTATATATACACTGGCTGCCTGTTCTCCAACAAAATTAATTTACATTAATTATTAATTATGAAAATGTTAATATAGTAAATAGTGTTTATGACTGCAATAATTACTGCAGTTACTTATAAGTTTGCATATTTTAAGAAATACAAATATTTGATAAATTATATAAATATTTAGTTTAAAGTGTTATTTTTGTTTTATACAGCATATATCATATTTTGCATTTTTACCATATATATTTTTATCATACTTTTGAAACAATCATATCACACATTGTTTGTAAATGGTTAATAATTTCTTGTTTTTAAGGTTGTTGATGTGTAGAAAATTGTTGGCAGCAATTTAATATATTATACTGAACAATTATATAATGTTTTCATTATCATTGAAATCTGTTACCTAAAATATTTAAGAATTGTTGTCCTGTTTCACATAAATTTCCATGTATAGTACAGTAATCTCTTTAATATTTGCTATTTCCCATTCTTATGATTTACTTTTGCATCAATTTACTTGTGCCTTGATATTTTCTTTATCATTCCTACTCCTTACTAACTTTAAATATGTTGAGAAATTACTTGTCCATTTTTAATTTTTTGTTGCTGATCAACTTTTTTAATTTTTAAAGACAAGTACAGTACAGTGTTTATATCCAGCTAGAAAATAAACAAACATGCATGCACATGTGCACACACATAAACATATTTCAAAGTAACAAAGGTGCTGAAATAATATTAGAAAGATCTCCTTTGAAAACAGTTGTATATGGCTGGAAGAAGGTAAATGAGAAGGTGTTGGATATCAAAACTGTCAGTAGTTTCAAAGCATCATGTAACATAGAACTGGGAAGATGGGATACCACACGCATACCTCTCGTCCTTTAACTACACTTAGGAAATTACACACAGAGGTGATATGATCATCACTTACAAAATACTAACAGGAATCAACCCAATTGACAAAGAGGAATTCTTGAAACCAGCAACTTTACGAACAAGAGGACACAGATTCAAATTAAGGAAACAAAGGTGCCTGAAAAAAATATTAGAAAGTTTTTTTTTGCAAACAGAGTGGTAGACGGTTGGAACAAACTAAGTGAGAAGGTGGTGGTCAAAACCGTCAGTAGTTTCAGAGCGTTATACAAGAAAGACTACTGGGAAGACGGGACACCATGAGCGTAGCTCTTACACTGTAACTACACTTGGGTAATTACACACACACACGACAGGAGACCAAGGGGACAGTATTCAATAAAGGATAAGTACCTACCAGTGACGATTCGGGAAAGAGACCTGGGAGTGGACGTAACACCTAATCTACCTTCTGAAGCACATATAAATATGATAATGTTCTGGCAAAAGTTGGAACTTCATTCAGAAACCTAAGTAAGGAGGCATTTAGGGTGCTTTACACTGCCTATGTGAGATTAGTCTTATGCCGCCCCATCATGGAGCCCCCACCTGAAGAAACACATAAGGAAACTGGAAGAGGTTCAGAAGTTTGTGACGAGGTTCATCCCAGAGTTACAAGGGATGGGGTATAAAGAGTGAAGGAACTGAACCTGACGACACTAGAAAAAAGGAGGGGGAGGGGAAATGTGATAGAAATATATAAAATACTTAGGGGGATTGACGAGTGGAATTAAACAAAATGTTCACACCGAATATTAACAGAACAAGGGGGCATGGGTAAAAGCTGGAAACTCAGATGAGTCAGAGAGATATGAAGTTTCTTTTAGAATAATTAGCAGGCTAAGGGGGCCTGACAGCTGAGTGGACAGCGCTCGGGATTCGGAACCCAGGACCACAGGATTACAAGCCCAGCGTGCTGTCCGCTCGGCCGACCGGCTCCCTAAGCTTGGGCATAGATATTTCATTGAATCACCTCAATGATCGTTATACATACATGTATATGTATAATGTAACTCAAGTGCTTTAATAATCAGAATCAAATTATCAGCTGGCGTCAAGGTGACGGGGAGTGTTGGAAAGACGAGAGGGAATGAGGGGAAGGCGGTGGTTTATACCCGAGCCAGGCGGGTGTGAGAGGCGAGCGAGGGGACTGGGGAGGGGGGTATTGGGAACTGATGGAGGACGAGGGGATACCGGGGTGGGGGTTGCTAAGGGAGGTGAGGGGGTTTAAAGGGGGGGAGACGCCTGCAGTTCAGAGATAAGGTGGATACACGAGCCAGCACTTGCCACGCTGTACGATAACCTATATATATATATATATATATCTTTAATGTTTCTATAGTATTTACAAACCGGTCTGCTTTATTAATTGTATGTATGTATGCAGATGTATTAAGGTATTGTGTTTTATTTTCTCACTTTATGTATGATGAGAATTCACGACGGAAATTAAGGAAACAAGTGAGCATCGTAAACAGTGCGGCGGCTGAGGAAAGTTAAAACAAACTTCAGTTGGAAGACGGATACCAACATTTGCAAAATTTTAATAATACCTGTTTGTATGTGTCAGTTGCCTTTCTGCTATATTTATTTTTTAATTAAAAAAAATATTCAATGTACGAGCTTCTGAATAACCAGAAAATCATTATATATCGTTGTTATATTTAACGTATGTCAGTATACTGTATATGATTTTAGTAATTAATCTATGAAACAGTAAATATACGCCAATTTAACTTACTTGATAACAATGATGAGAGGAGTACTGTTTCCTGGAGTTCTAGTGTTGCGTTTATGGGTGTAAAACTGTGAGATTTGATGCAGGAATATAAGAGAAATGAAGCCCGGGTTATTTTGTCCCAATCTGGGGTTTAGGCTGGCCCTCCAGACTCTTATATGAGTCATTTGATACCCTTGTGACGTGGCGAGTGCGTCACTTACTCTCTGAGGAGATGGGATGAGAGAAAGACATAACACACACACACACACACACACACACACACACACACACACACACACACACACACACACACACACACACACACACACACACACACCATAGACCCCCTTGGGACCAAAGAGCCAGAGCTCAACCCCCGCAAACACAACTAGGTGAGTACACACACACGCACGCGCGCGCACACACGCACACACGCTAGGGAGCCGGTGGCCGAGCGGACAGCACGCTGTACACGTGATCCTGTGGTCCCGGGTTCGATCCCGGACGCCGGCGAGAAACGATGGGCAGTTTCTTTCACCCTATGCCCCTGTTACCTAGCAGTAAATAGGTACCTGTGAGTTAGCTGTCACGGGCTGCTTCCTGGGGTGTGTGTGGCGTGGAAAAAAAAGTAGTAGTAGTAGAAGCAATTGATTAACAGTTGAGAGGCGGGCCGAAAGAGCAGAGCTCAACCCCCGCAAGCACAACTTGGTGAATACACACACACACCTTGTGAGAGTGGTACTCTCACAAGGGGACACAGGTGGAAACCGAGTACCCAAATGATCCACAGAGACATTAGAAATAACTTTTTAGTGTCAGAATAGTTAATAAATGGAATACATTAGGCAGTGATGTGGTGGAGGCTGACTCCATACACAGTTTCAAATGTAGCTATGAGAGCCCAATAAGCTCAGGATCCTGTACACCAGTTGATTGCCAGTTGAGAGGCGGGACCATAGACCCCCAAACTTAACCTCCGCAAGCACAGCTCGATGAGTATAGGTACACTATATCCTGGCTAAAGCCTTCAGAGAGGAGGCGACCGGATCAGATATAAAGGAACCAATTGATAGATTGTTAAGAGAGGTCCTCAGAACCTGTCTCAGTAACCATCTGGTCAGGCCGGGCAGGTAAATCGGGAGTGGCCAAATTTGGCCACTCGAGACGATAAGTCTTAATTGGGGGGCAATAAGTCCTTTGAGACGTCGAGTCGGAAGGCTGCTGCAGGTCTGGCAGTGAGACAACAGGTCTGGGAGTGACACAACAGGTCTGGGAGTGAAGACAGCAGGTCTGGCAGTGAGACAACAGGTCTGGGAGTGACACAACAGGTCTGGGAGTGAGACAGCAGGTCTGGCAGTGAGACAACAGGTCTGGGAGTGACACAACAGGTCTGGCAGTGAGACAACAGGTCTGGGAGTGACACAACAGGTCTGGCAGTGAGACAGCAGGTCTGGGAGTGACACAACAGGTCTGGGAGTGACACAACAGGTCTGGCAGTGAGACAACAGGTCTGGGAGTGACACAACAGGTCTGGCAGTGAGACAACAGGTCTGGGAGTGACACAACAGGTCTGGGAGTGAGACAGCAGGTCTGGGAGTGACACAACAGGTCTGGGAGTGAGACAGCAGGTCTGGGAGTGACACAACAGGTCTGGGAGTGAGACAGCAGGTCTGGGAGTGACACAACAGGTCTGGGAGTGAGACAACAGGTATGGGAGTGAGACAACAGGTCTGGGAGTGACACAACAGGTCTGGGAGTGAGACAGCAGGTCTGGGAGTGACACAACAGGTCTGGGAGTGAGACAACAGGTCTGGGAGTGAGACAACAGGTCTGGGAGTGACACAACAGGTCTGGGAGTGAGACAGCAGGTCTGGGAGTGACACAACAGGTCTGGGAGTGAGACAACAGGTATGGGAGTGAGACAACAGGTCTGGGAGTGACACAACAGGTCTGGGAGTGAGACAGCAGGTCTGGGAGTGAGACAACAGGTCTGGGAGTGAGACAACAGGTCTGGGAGTGAGACAACAGGTCTGGGAGTGAGACAACAGGTCTGGGAGTGAGACAGCTGGTCTGGGAGTGAGACAACAGGTCTGGGAGTGAGACAACAGGTCTGGGAGTGAGACAACAGGTCTGGGAGTGAGACAGCTGGTCTGGGAGCGAGACAACAGGTCTGGGAGTGAGACAACAGATCTGGGAGTGAGACAACAGGTCTGGGAGTGAGACAACAGATCTGGGAGCGAGACAACAGATCTGGGTGCAAGACAACAGATCTGGGAGCGAGACAACAGATCTGGGAGCGAGACAACAGATCTGGGAGCGAGACAACAGATCTGGGAGTGAGACAACAGGCCAGGGACTGACAAGTGACCGCTAAGGTTAGCGACATGAAAGAGCTAGGTCAAATGCCACAGGGTTGACAGGTCAGTGTTTGGCGCTCGGCCAGCTCTGGTGCTCTAGGTGGGCTGTGGCTGTTTTTCTCCTTGCTTGCTCGCTCGCTTTCTCTCTTATCTGTTTTTTTTATCACTGCTAATATTACCCCATAGTATCTTCATTCAGTTTTCATCTCTTTTGATACTAATTCAATTTCTTTATTATGCACCCCATACCTATCCCGTGGGCGGGAGGATTACAGAGTCACATAATGGGTTCAGGAACAACCCCATAGTTCATTTAGCTGAGCAAGTGACAATCTTGTGAAGGTAGTTACACAATTGTTAATGTTAGATCTTGACACCAGAGGGCGTCTTTACTCCCCTGCCCACCCTGTCCTTGGAAGCTCAGTGCTCCAGCGTCGCCCGCCAGCACTCATTGTAAAGTGCCCGCCAGTTGTTAAATAGTAATTAATAATAATAATTTATTTGCAAGAAGGTACAATGGGTTGGTGAGATTACATAAGATTGGTAATTTTTACATTCATGCAAAGCCACTAACACGCAGAGCGTTTCGGGCAGACTTTCTGTGTCTGTGTGCCTATGTGTTTATTGTGCACCCTATACTCATCCTGTGAGAGGTGGTTTATTGTGCACCCTATACTCATCCTGTGAGAGGTGGTTTATTATGCACCCCATACTCATCCTGTGAGCGGTAGTTTATTGTGCACCCCATACTCATCCTGTGAGCGGTAGTTTATTGTGCACCTCATACTCACCGTGTGAGAGGTAGTTTATTGTGCACCCCATACTCACCCCTGTGAGCGGTAGTTTATTGTGCACCCCATACTCATCCTGTGAGCGGTAGTTTATTGTGCACCTCATACTCATCCTGTGAGCGGTAGTTTATTGTGCACCCCATACTCATTCTATGAGCGATAGTATACCCAAAAATACCAGTGGTTTACATACACCATGTGGGGCCGGATTAATACATTCATAGACCTTAGACACCTCTAATAACACAAGCTAGTGCCTAATATTTTGTTTTCATCTATGGCAAGAATATGGCTAAACAGAATACTATATAAAATAATCAGGTATCATAAATAGATACTTACAGGATTAAGTAATAAATAAATAAAAAAAAATTGAAACGGGGGAAAAAATAGAAAAGGGTTCTCGTTTTATGCTCGTAGTCCCCGACCCTCTTGTCAGCCTAATGGATACAATCCGGTACTGTATATATGCATCTGTAGTGTATATTCTTCTTCTTTATAAATAATAATAAGTATTATAATTATTGTTGAAAGGAGTAAAATATTTCAAAAGTCGATGTGGAAATTTTAGGATATTCTTTTTTAAGTCTGATCCGAAAATTCATAAGTACTGTGATGAAATTTAGTTTTTTATGTAAAAATCCGTCTAAATATTCGTAATATGTTCTTTATATTATTCGGCTGCCGTTATGGCAATTAATATGCTGTATATGACGCAACACTCCGCGTCGTAGAAATATACCCAAAGCAGCGATGTAAAAGTAGACACAACGATGTAGAAACAGTCGCAACACCCAACAATAGAGAAGTAGACTTGGGAGTAGATATAATCCCAACACAACCAGTAAAATCTCATGTGGACAGGATGACATCAGCAGCATATGGAAAGTTAGCAAACATAGGAACGTCATTTATTAATCTAAACAAGGAAGCTTTCAAGTCCATACACATTGTCTCTGTAAGACCATTATTTGAATTTGCATCACCAGGCAGGAACTCAAACCTTGCGAAGCACAACAAAAAGAAATTTGAAAAAGTTCAGAGGTTTGCAACTAGATTATTACCAGAATGGAGGGATCAGCTATGACGACAGATTCAAATTCAAGTATGTTTATTGAGATAAGCAAGAAATACATCTCAAAGGGATAGAGTAGCTTAGGCTATTTCTACCTATGACGACAGATTGAACGAACTCGCCCTCACAAGCTTACGGGAGAGAAGAAACAGAGGGAATATGATCATTACCTACAAAATCCTGAGGGGAAATAGATAAGGTGGAAAAAGGTAACTTATTTAAACTAAAGAGAGGAAGGACAAGGGGGACATCATTGGAAGTTGGACAGGCAATTTAGTCGTAGAGATCTAAGGACGTCTCCGTTCCCTTTACGGATGGTCGGCAAGTTTTATGCATTGAAGGAGGAGGTTGTTGAAGCCAATTATATCCAAAACTTTAAGAAAAATGTGAAGAAAACGTTAATGTCGAGAGAGAGGTAATTACACGCCAGGTATAAATTGAAAGGAGGCCGGGCATGAAGAACAAGACCTCACTTCCCAGTAATCACTGATAGGTAAGCACCAACAGTAACAGTAGACTGGGCCAGACAGCTTCCGTTTTCCTGATATCATAATGACAACAACAACAATAATGACATCATGTGATAACAGAAATACTTAAGCAAAACCTGATAAAAGCCTTGTTGCTAAAATATTATACAATCATATTTCTTACATCAAAAGTGAAAGTAAAATAATTACGACTGCTGTTAGAAAGGTCAACAGTTCAAAAGGTATGTGAATGATTATGATCTGGTATTTAAATATCAAATGGGGGGACCTTTGGCGAGCCGGCGGCTTCCTGTCCTCGTCGAGGCCATTAGGGTTAGTGGCCCTCAGGTAAGCCGTAAAATAACAATATCAAATGCCTATATTTCATCAGTGGAAATTTACATTTGGCAATTGAGCAGAGTTAACTAACACATTTACACTGCATTTAATAGCGTTACTGATGACCACATCCGTCCACGAACTGAGAAAAGTAAGCCTTAGTACATGGATAAACTCACGTCATCCATTGGAGCCGTTGTTGTGGTCATCATCTGTACTTTGTTTACACTCTGCCTGCCAGAGGGCAGCACGGCGTGCTCTTTGAATTAAAATATATATTGTCTCCCTCATCGGCCAATTTCGGTTTCTTTATCTACAACTTTTAAAGCACAACACTGAATTCGCAGACTAGATATTGTAAATTCACGGAGGCCACTTGATAATTATGATTATCCTACATCTCATGACACACAGCCCGTTTATTGTTCACAACGTCACAATTGACGTACTAAATTGGTCGAACCTAACCTAACCGAGGACCCAAGAGAAGAAACAGGACATCACGTCAATTCTGCAAGCCGCTATGATTTTTAGTGCATCAGTCTAAATGCGATGTACTCCTAATGCGAACTCGAGAGGACGAGTTGATCCTTGTGGAACTCCTCCAATTGCGCGCGGAACCCAACCAACGGCTCATGAAGCTCTTCCAGTGTCACGTGGAACTCCAACAAGGGTGCCCTGAACTCACCCAAACCGCGCGAAAGCCAACCAAGGCCACTCTGTTTTGATACAGAGTGTAGATATTTTCACCCTAAGCTATGCACACTCTCAGTCAATGAGAGGAAATGCTACGATCTTCACTGCCCCGATTTCCACGTCAGAGGTACACAGCGCCATATAAGAGAAGAAGTCCAACATAATAGCCCTGAAAATTTTTTAGAGGCAGGTACAAACAGAGGGAGAAACAGACAGGCAGAAACGTGGCAGGAGTACGGATGGAGAGGGGGAAATGCCCAAGACTGGACTACAGTTCGGCATCAAGCCCACACATACTACACCCCCCAACTACACAGAGACTACCACACTCCCCAGTATCACTTCCAAAACTGGACAAACCATTGCCACAACAACACACCCTGGGTCAGGGTAGAGAGGAGGGAGAACTACCAAAACCTTCCAGAAGTTACACACAACATGGACAATCATTCATATTTGCAAACATTCAAGGTTTAAAGCCAAAGTCAAGAAATAAAGTTAAGTTCATAAATGGCCTTCTATTAGAGTCAAACTCAATATTTGGGGCATTCACGGAAACTCATACAAAAGATTACATGGATGGTGAAATCTGGATTCCAAATTATAATCTATATAGATGTGATAGAAAAACTAGGTCAAATGGAGGAGTAGGTCTGTATATTAAAGAAGACCTGGTATGCACAGAACTACTAAATTCAACTAATGAGGTGGTAGAGGTACTTGGAATGAAGGTAGAGAAACTAAACTTAATTATTATTCTAATATATAAACCGCCAGATACAACGATTGAGGAATTCACAGAGCAGATGCACAAAATAGAGAACATACTTGACAACCTAGCAAACCCAGCTCCAGATATTATCTTTCTTGGAGATTTCAATTTACCGAGTCTAAGATGGAGAACGGCAAACACAAATATCATAGCAGGGAATGACCCGGGAAATAACCAACCACAGGTTAGAGAACTTTTGAGATTCTGTGACAAATTCTCGCTCAATCAACAGATTACAGAACCAACTAGGAACGAAAACACACTAGACTTGTTATTCACAAACAATGATGAACTAATCAGGGATATCACAATCTCAGATACTTCATACTCAGACCATAAGCTCATTGAAGTGCGAACTAGCATAAATAACGGTAGTAGGTCTAAGAGACCAAACAAGCGAGAAGGAATATTCAATCAATTCAATTTCAACAATAAGAGGATTGACTGGGAAAAAATAAATGTAGACCTTGCAACCATTCAATGGGAGACGGTCTTAAGCGACAAAACTCCCACACAGGGAATAGCTCAACTGACAGCTGAAGCTTACAAGGTCTGCTTGAAGCACGTGCCTGTGAGGAGGGGCAGAAAGAGGACCACTCTAGAAAGAGAACGGAGACGACTGTACAGGAGAAGGAAAAAAATAACGGAAATGCTTCGGCAGACACAACTATCACAAGCAAGGAAAACAAGCCTAAGCAGGGAGATTGAGGAAATAGAACAAACGTTGAAGCGATCATATGAGTCTGAGTAAATGGAATTGGAACAGAAAGCTATACAAGAGATAAGGAAAAATCCGAAATATTTTTTCACATACGCAAAATCAAAATCCAAAACCTCGACCAGTATTGGACCGTTAATTACAAATGAAGGTACGTACACAGAGGACAACAAAGAGATTAGTGAAATTCTAAGAAGCCAGTATGAGGCTATGTTTAGCACACCAATAAACAACATGAAAGTTGATGACCCAGACAGCTTCTTTATGAATGACATTCAAGCTGCAGATAATATAGCGGATATTACCACAAACTCGGAAGACTTTGGAAGAGAAATTGATAATATGCCTATGCACTCAGCTCCTGGGCCTGACTCATGGAATTCAATATTCATAAAGAAATGTAAAGTACCAGTAGCGAGAGCACTCAGCGTAATATGGAGAAAGAGCCTGGATACAGGGGAGATATCAGCAGCACTTAAATCTGCAGATATAGCTCCGTTGCACAAGGGGGGGAGTAAAGCCTTGGCAAAAAATTATAGGCCAGTTGCACTAACATCACACATAATAAAAGTGTTTGAAAGAGTGATTAGGAATCAAATTTCTAGTTTTATGGAAAACAATGAATTGCACAATCCAGGACAACATGGATTTAGAGCGGGAAGATCCTGTCTGTCACAGTTACTCAACCACTATGACATAATCACAGAAGCCCTAGAAGAAAAGCAAAATGCAGATGTTGTATTCACAGACTTTGCAAAGGCGTTCGACAAATGTGACCATGGGGTGATAGCTCACAAAATGAGGTCAATGGGAATAACTGGAAAAGTAGGACGCTGGATACTCAATTTCCTGTCGAACAGAACACAAAGAGTAACAGTCAATCAGATAAAATCGAGTCCAAGCGATGTTAAAAGCTCTGTACCTCAAGGTACAGTCCTTGCACCGCTACTGTTCCTTATTCTCATATCTGATATAGACAAAAATACACGCCACAGCTTCGTGTCGTCCTTTGCAGATGACACAAAAATCAGCATGAAAATTACCTCTGCTGAAGACATTGAAAAACTACAAGCAGATGTCAATTTTGTGATTGGGCAGCAGAAAATAACATGATGTTTAACAGTGATAAATTTCAGGTACTCAGGTACGGCAAAAATGAGGATCTGAAACATAATACAGGGTACAAAACACAATCGAATCTTCCCATAGTAGAAAAACAGCATGTCAAGGATTTGGGAATAATGATGTCCGACGATCTAACGTTTAGGGAGCATAACCAAGCAAATATCGCGTCAGCCAGAAAAATGATCGGATGGATTACGAGAACTTTCAAATCCAGGGATCCCATCACAATGGTTGTACTCTTCAAGTCACTTGTGCTGTCCCGTCTCGAGTACTGCTCAGTACTCACTTCCCCCTTCAGAGCAGGAGAGATTGCTGAAATAGAGGGAATACAGAGAACATATACGGCACGCATAGACGAGATAAAACACCTAAATTATTGGGATCGTCTCAAAGCTCTCCAAATGTACTCTCTAGAAAGGAGACGAGAGAGATACCAAATAATATACACATGGAAAATACTGGAGGGTCAGGTCCCAAATCTACACAGTAAAATAACAACGTACTGGAGTGAACGATATGGAAGAAAATGCAAGATAGAACCAGTGAAGAGCAGAGGTGCCATAGGCACAATCAGAGAGCACTGTATAAACATCAGGGGTCCGCGGTTGTTCAACGTCCTCCCAGCGAGCATAAGAAATATTGCCGGAACAACCGTGGACATCTTCAAGAGAAAACTGGACGGTTTTCTAAGAGAAGTTCCGGATCAGCCGGGCTGTGGTGGGTACGTGGCCCTGCGGGCTGCTCCAAGCAACAGCCTGGTGGA